TCTTCCACTTTTTCACATTTTTTAAAAGTACTCTGGTTAAGAGCAGCTACTCACAGGGTAAATGTAAATGTTCTTGGTCATACTAAGCACAATTTGTTATCATAATTTAAAAGATTAAAATTAATTTTTTTCTCCATTGTCTTAAATCAGAATGATTTTTGATTACGATGCAATAGTGGGCGGTGAAAAATAATGGGGCCTTGATGCAGAAGATGACGACAATGGAAACATAGTGCTTCAAATGCATGTTTTTTATGCAGCAGGGGCCCGCCCGCCACCCAGCACTAACAAATTCAGCGGGGTAGCCAGCAGGTCACTTCTAGCCCTATACAGTCCATTCATGCTAGACACTACAGACTAACCCAATCACCCCACAGCCCAACACGAAGCAATGCCTAAAACATATACACACTAATAATGTCCACAACACAGCTATTTACAAAATATAAGTCTCTCTCACCACTGCATGGTGATACGTCTGGTTCTTCAAGCTTGCTGCTTTGCATGGCCATGCCTTCCACGTGCCTACGGCCGAACAATCCGGTAGCAAAATGCTACAATAATATAATATGCCCCCACTTGTCATTGAGAGAAATTGCTGTGCAAGCTCAGAGACCCTCCCTGATACCACGTTTCAGAAATACATCACGGTATGGAAAGTAAATGCATTACGAGTTCTGTTTCACGTTGTCGTTAAGTGGTGCATCATATTTGAAGCTGTGCTTTAGTAAAAATGCTATTTTGCAGAGCGTTCTTGGGATCATATGTATAAAATTTAAAGTGGTCCCGATTGGTCACCGCACCCTGACTTATGTACAGTAAAATATAACAGCAATTAAACTTATGTGGAGACTACATGGTAATATTTTTGTTCAAAATATTAGTGTAATTTGTTTCTAAAAATAAACAAGTGAATGAATGAATGAATGCAATTAGTCACCTGACAACATTTTAGAACCGAGCCTGTTTGATTTGGCTTAATGAGTGCACTATTGTAGAATTCCTGCATGGCTTCCAGCATTTCATATGCTAAACCTGTGATAAGTCGCTCTACTTTTGACTGCGTGTTTTCTATTGAGAAAGATGTTTCGTTGATAGTGCAGACATAATGACTCTTTCTTTCTCCTAAAATCAGGTTGTATTGTTTTAGCACAGGTAGCAGTTTGTTTCATTATGTTAGTTTTCATTTTGTCTCAGTTTGCTCTTTGTAATCTACTGTCTGCCATTACTCACACTGTAAGCCAATCACCAAACAAGCAGATGACTGCCTAAGCCAATGAGCAAACACACAGATGATAGAGTAAGCTGATCGACAAACAGTCAGATATTTGATGGTTTAAAGGAAACTGTTGTTGGGACATATAACGGCTTAATAACGGAGAATGAACTGGACATGCTTGGGTGTGGGTGTGTCGGGGGGGTGATGCATTTCATTACAGCACAGCTTTTTATTGCAGTGAGATGAGCCAAGTTTCCATCTCCTTCCTTGCTTTATTGCTGTCCTCAGAAAGTATCTGTTGGCTGACTCTCTTTTATACACACAACACACACACACACACACACTCAGAGTGATGTTTATGGAATAGGAACATGTCCACCCACGCCTTATGAACTGTTTTGTGTTCCTGCCTGTGCTGGCCACACGCACGGTCACACGCTGAATAGTCGACTTATGGCATGAGCAGTCTAATGATGTCACTTGGACAACCTTCGTCAGTCTTCTGCACCCTGTTCCTGCCTCCTTAATCTCACCCCCCTTCTCTCTCTCTCTCTCTCTCTCTCCCTCCCCCCCCTCTCTCTCTCTCTCTCTCTCTCTCTCTCTCACACTCACACTCACACACACACACACACACACACATTTGTTTTTATACCTTTTCTGGACATGAAGTCATACCTGTGTCCCATATAAAATATACACACACAGCTATTTCTTGATCCTAGCCATACTAAGTCAGTAAGTACATTTTATTTCTTTATTTATATTTCTGTAGCACATATAAAACCAAAATGCTTTACGGTTAAGGAACGAGTTTGTCCCACCATCAGTTCTCACTTACAGCAGCCCCACTTACACATTGCCACCACTGCATACCGTCTTTAGTCTGCACATCGCATTCAACAGTTACTAAAAGCCAGTCAATAAAACTGTTTTAATTTTGTATTTAATTCAATCTCCGAGCAACAGCAAAACCACAATCTCCTTTTAGTTTAAGCTGAGAACGTAGAATAGTCAGAAGCAGTTGAGAAGCTGACCGCAGAAAAGCACAGTGTATGTAGGTGTAAATCCCTTTGAATGTTTTATGCCAATCAAAGCTACGTTATACTGGATTCTGTAGTGACATACTTGCAAACTCCCTGTTTTTAATGATGATCATGCTGTTCACATGAATTGTGTATTTTTAGGAAGAGGGGTGGGGGTGGGTATACTGTCAGCAGGGAATTCTGAGACTGAATCCCTCCTCTCCTCCAAACACAGCACAGCTGCAGTTCAGCCATTATTAATTTTTTATAGGCCAGTCAGAACTAATGTAACATTGCGAGCATGTGAAAAGAGAGCTAAGTTTTGTGAGGAGTGTATTTGGTTTCATTTTCACATATTCAGATTTCTTTCTTCAATAGCTTTCAAATGGTGGCTGAAAAAAAATTACCATGTAAATTATGATTCTTAACAACCAAGAAAATCTTTCACTTAGTTTGTGTCTGAAAATGTTATAGAACACGTTTATTTCTGGGAACTTTCGTAACCGCTAGGAGAGCTAAACAACCGTCTACAAATTACATTGCAGGTGGCAATCATCGGGGTCCAAGCACTTGTTTTCTTTGTGCCAAGTGATAATCAGGGTGCAAGATTTTTAACTAGTTGTAAACAAGCAAGAGAGATCTTAGTAACCCTAAGATACGGCAGATTACAGAAATCTAATCAGGATGTAACAAAAGCACGAAACATAAACTTAACCTTAATTGTTACCTTGGTAACTAAAAAGAGATTTCTTTACCCTTTCAATTAAAAAAAAAATCTGGAGCTGTTGTAAAAGCACCTTGAGACCAGCAGAATGATTCTGACAAGTTATGTCCCTTTTTTTGGTTTTCCTCACAAAGTCGATACATTTTTGTCTTGTAAATATATGATAACCTACGCACACACACACACACACACACACACACACACACACACACACACACACACAGAGCACTGAATTGGGGCAGGTAGATGGATCCTCTCCAGATGGGTTTGGAAAGAGTGTCCAGCTCCACCCAGCTCTAACTGAGTCTACTGTCATGTGGCTCCAATCTGCAGTGTTAATCAGTGCACAATGCGGCTGCTTCATTTCAGCTTAATTCCACAGGGAGGAGGAGAGGGAGAAGGAGAATAGCCCCCTTCTTTTGCCCCCTCAAAGACACACTGTTTCTCTCTGAATACATGCACATAAGATGCATGCCAGTTGTTTGTGTTGTGTAAAAATAAACAGTGATATGAAATTGTTTTGCTGGAGACTGTGGGTTTGTACTTGTGATATCTGCAGTCCTGGCATTTCAGCTGCAGTTAATCTAGCAGCCTTTTAATGAAAACATGCTTAAACTGCACGTAGAATTTGCGTGTGCTGCCTATTACACAATTAATAGAGGCATTTTGTTCAAAGCTGAGAGACAAACTTGAGAAAGTAGCGTGTCTGAAGGTACACTATTTAAGACACCATAAAATAGTCATTTCAGAAACACAATTTACATAGAAGAACTGAAATGATTTTACTCTTGCATTGAGGATGTGTGTTACATAATTTGTATTGGTTTTACTAGCTTTAATGTTCGTGAACGATGTGCAGCAGTATTATGTATGAAAATACATTGGCAGTCAAGAAGAATTGCTCACATGCACTTGTTATACACTGATGTTTAAGCTAGCAGTATACTTCAAACATCAAAAGAAGTACATGAAATGGAACTACCACCAAATGCTATTGTAAATATGCTGTACATCTCAGCACCGCCAAAGGCTCATTGCATTGACACAGGCAGTGGGACTCCTTGTGGTGGACCAGTCACATTCACGGGGAGGTCTCAGACCAAAAGGAACAGTGATTAGAAGTTCTGTTTAGCATGTGGTGCACAACACAACAAATTAATTCACACTACATCATCATTTTGGCCAAAAAGACAGGTTTAGCTTTTTTTCATTGGAGTCCCCAGCTTTAGCAACATTTTGATGTGGTTATCCCGTCTATTCACTTAGAGGACAAAACAAGATGGTTATTCCAGCAAGTCAATGCAGGACACCACACAGTTTATTAAGTAAAATCCAGCTATGATTTAAAACACATGAAGATCTTGTTGGGAAATGTGTGGAGAAGAAATGTCCAACCACTACGGATGAACAGCAGTGAAGAATCATTTCTAAAAACCTTAGTCTTCAAGACTAGATAACCTACAAAATGATAAACACTTCAAACTGTTGGTGTGTATATTTTCTACTTTGCCTTCTCTTGATGTCAGTGATCATTACAAAATACAACCTAGGAGCAATTATTATAGTGTTTAGCAGCATTTTATAGGTGCTCTAGTCTTGAAGACAATCTCGGTGCTTAGCCATATTTTTCGTATTTTTTGTTTCCATAAGTCGTTTTCTTTTTGAAATGATTCAAAGGAACTGCTTCCATGTCCTTCAGTACTCTCCGCAGACCATCCATACTTTTCCCAGCGTAGCCTCACAACACCTCAAAGGGTTTTTAATCGTGCCTGAATTTAATTTAATGTACTGTGTGGCATCTTGCATTACCTTGTTGAAATATCCATCATTTGTTGTTTTCTTCAAATAAATAGACAAGATAAATGTAAAAATAGTTGCTAAACATCAGTAGACGTTGTACGTACATGTATGTGTTTCTTTTGGACTGCCGGTGTATAAATATCAGATATCAGTAATGGTAGATACCTAACCTTGTGAGAGCTTAAGATTAATGACCCCTTTCTTTCTTTGTCTCCATCTCTCTTTTGTCTCTCAGGATTGTCCTCAGATTCTGCCATCAACTCAGATCTATATCCCAGTTGGTGTGACGAAGCCCATCACTCTGGCTGCCCGGAACCTTCCTCAGCCGCAGTCAGGCCAGAGGAACTACGAGTGCATCTTCCACATCCAGGGGGAAACCCACAGTGTGACAGCCCTGCGCTTCAACAGCTCCAGCATCCAGTGCCAGAAAACCACCGTGAGTACACGCGCACATGCACACTCAAACTTCTGGCACATCATCCATCATACTCCTTACTAGAGGGAAGCGGTGATGTTCTTTCCTACCAAACAATGTGTTCCCTTCTTCCTTCACATTTTCATGCTCAGTAGAGCACATCCACACACACACACACATTCGCATGCCACCTTCTGCATTTATCCACAAAACAGCATGCTGCATGCTTATGTGGGTGTGTGCGTGCAATGGTGCGCTTGTGTTGAAAGTGTGTATGTGTGTGTGGACCCAAGAGTGTGTGGAGAATCATTGTATATCAGTAGTGTAAACAGGAGAATGCTAATCCACAGCTAAGCCTCTGTCCTCTGAGTCTGTGTTTATGTGAGAGGGAAAGAAAGAAAGGTAAGCCAGTTTTAGTGTATTTGTTCTATTTTACTTTGTAGTGTATTTATTAGTATATCGTTCTGCAGACAGACATACAGCTCCCCCAGCCTGAACTGTTGGCACAAGGCAGGGTGGGTCCATGGGTTAATGTAGTTTTTGGTAAATTCTTGTTGTACCATCTGAATGTCGCAGCAGACATTGAGATGCCTAGTCTAGGCAACGTTTTTCCAATCTTGAACTATCCAGCTATTTTGTTGAGCCTGTGCCCACTGTAGCCTCAAATATGTCTCTCTGTCTAGCATCAAATCAACTTCAGTGGTTAAACCTCATGATTTCACCAGATTGTGAACTTTGCTCCATGGTGGTTGTGAGGGAACACAACACACACACACACACAAAAATAAATAAATAAATAAATGCAGACAACCCTTATGACATCCACACTCCCCCCTCCCCCCCCTTCCTGTGGCTCGTGGCATCTGCTTTGTGTCCGCTCTGACACCCTTCAGCCTTGTAATCATGAGTTAGTGTGCGGGAAGCAGCAAGGGTGCATGGGAAAGCCATGCCTGTTTGGACTGCATTCAGCTGAGTGAATACAGCTGGAAGCTTCAGCCAGGAAGAGAGGAACTCACCCTTGGTGCTTATGGGAAATGTAGTTTTATAGTGTTCTTTTTAAACCTTACTGAACCAGAATGAGAAAAGATTGAGTGAATATAGTTGGAAACTCAAACCAGAAATTGAAAAAAACACCCTTGGTGCTTATGGGAAATGTAGTTTTATAGTGTTCTTTTAAAAGTTTACTTAGAATGAAAAAAACAATGAGAATGAGAAAAGTCTGAGCGAATACAGTTGGAAAGACAAGGAAGGGAGGAACTCACCCTCCTCCTAGTTTAAAAGTGTTTTTTGAAAGCTCACTGAAACAGAATGAGAAAAGACTAATGTGAATGCTGCCTCTACACTGTCACCTCACTAGAGATAAAGAAATGTGTGCAGTCCATCACCTATTCTCAGTCTAATAGAAGATAGAAAGACAGAAATTGGGCTGAGAGAAAACAAAAAGGAGGAGAGGAAGGAGTAACAGAATTTTCCTGTCCACCTGGGCAGTTGGAGAGTGTGTGTGCGTGCAAGCTTGTGCATGTGTGTCATAGGGAGGAGTAGAGGTCCCTGATGAGAACCAATTAGAAGAGACATGGAGAAAAACGATGATGAATTACAGAGAGAGAAGGAGGGAGGGAGAGTTCTGGCAAAGAGAAAGGATGAGCGAAGGAGAGAGAGAGCTGAAAGAGGGAGGGGGAGGCCGGTGGAGAGGAAGCGTGGAGCTGGAGAGAGCCCCTGAAAGGATGAAACTGAACCAGTGGATGAGAAAGAGGAGCCCCAGCCATAATGGAAGTGAATGGAGATGTGCAGTGTACTGAAAGCAGATATAGTTGCACTCGCCATCTGCTCATCAATAGGAACTGAGGGTTTTTTTAGGAGCTCATAATGGAGGAATAGAGATGGAGGGATTAAGAAAGGAGGCTAAGGGGGCGCCATGTGAGCATCTCTGATGATTTCCCCTCTCTCTCACTCCCGCACTCACTCATTCTGTCTTTGATTGCATCAGGGTTTACTTGAGTACACACATGAAACCTAAATGTGTGCGCATGAGTGTCTATACCAATAGGGTCTTATCAACCTCAACAGATGATTTTTTTTCACTTTTTTAATCACAACATTACTACTTCCACCCACTCTAGGGCAAGGTTAACCCTTAGAAGTCAGAGTTATCACTGGCAGTAACAAACATGTTGTAATTTAATGCTAATTATTTCTCATTTGTGACTGATTAAAGTTGCTGGTTAAAAGTTCTGATTTCTTCAGCACATGTCCAGCACTTTCTAACAGCTATTATTTATTCTTTAATGGACCCACCTGGCGATTTATATTTGTAAATGAAAAACAGTTGGCTATTTAAAGCCGCACTATGGAAGATTTTGTGATTAAGACCTCTCTTTTGGAAATATGTAATTGTATGCAGTGTGTGGAAGAACATTTATCATCAGTTGTGCTTCGGAACCGTTCCCCGAGTGGATGCATCTGATGATTGCACGCGTGTTGAGAGTATTCACAGAAAAAAAAAACTTGGTAAACAACATGTGTCCATAGATGTTAAGGAATTAACTACTGTTGTAAATCATTTCTTCATCAGTATAATATTGATTTTACATTGAAATACCTAAACATCAAGCCGAACCTTCTTTTTAAGCCTGTGCATGTGACTTTAATGCATAAAGACGGATGACGTGATCTGAAAAACTCCCGTGAAATCCAACCCGACACCTCTGACTTTTAAATGACTGTTTCAAGGTTTACAAGGTGACTCGCAGCAGCGCACGCACACCATATTTTAGCTTGTTTTTTTCTCCTGACTCAGTAATGCTTCTTTCAATTTTAACAACGATATCCTACTGGCGCTTTAAAGAACTTTAATCTCATAATATTCTACACTGAAACTAAGAGATGACTGGCTATTCAGCACAATGCAGCATAAATAATTATGCTACATTTCAGTATAGGCGTACCATCAGCTTTAAAATACAGTGTGAGAGCACTCACCTTCCTCATGCTGTTTGCATCATTAAATTACAACTCGGATCAGCCAAAATTAAAATGATAAATTTGCCAGTGACTGTATTTAGAGCAAAAATCTGCTGATTCTGATTTTGACTGATTCCGATCATGCCCCTTATTGAAATTCCACTGAAATAGAATTGCAAAATGTCTTATTTATTCATTCACTTGCTATCTCTCGGAAACATGCTCTCTATAGCTTATAGGACACATTTAGTACGAAATGCATATGGAGACCCAATTAGATAGGGCTTTCCTTACTGAAGTGGATTCTCTAAAACGTAGCATTAGCAGAAGGTCATGCCTTGCCAAAGTGAAAAATTGGAGCATGTATGTAAAATGCATGCAAAGCAGTAAGTGTAGAGTGGAGTGAGGTTGTATGTGCTCAGCACACTCACTGAATTTCTTTACCTGTGTGTGTGTGTGTGTGTGCGTGTATGCGTGTGCGCCTATGTGCATGTGATCTCTACAGGAGAGCATAGCGAGCTAAGTGTATTTTTAGTTCTTCATGCAGGTCTTCTTTCAAAATGACTAATTATCGGAGTGTGACCCTTGCAGAGAGCATTCCACCTACCCCCCTCTCTCTTTCTCTTTCTCTCTTTTCCCCTCTCTCTCTCTCTCTCTCTCTCTCTCTCTCTCTCTCTCTCTCTCTCTTTTCTTCTTTACCTGTCTTCCGCTCTCTCTCCCTCTCTCTATTTTAATCCCTGTCCCTTGCTCTCTCCCTCTGCTTCCCCCCCCCCTCTCTCTCTCTCTCGCTCTCTCGCTCTCTCTCTCTCTCTCTCTCTCTCTCTCTCTCTCTCTCGTTCTCGTTCTCCGTGCTTCCTCCCTGCTCTGTTTCTTCATGATCTATCGCTCTCTGAGAGAGAGGGAGAGAGGGATGACTCTAGAGTGCCCTCCTCTTCTCTCCAAGCTTCATTAATCCTTATCCTCCTTATTTATTTGGCTTTTCATGCTGTCACTGGCTTTTTCTAGCTGTGTGTGTGTGTGTGTGTGTGTGTGTGTGTGTGTGTGTGTGTGTGTGTGTACTTTTCCCACTAACTTCACACCGTCTTGCGCGTTTGCAGGTAGCAGAGGCTGATAAGTTGAGAGAGAGAAGAAAAGAGAGTAGAGGATATGGTCCTTGTTTATTATGCTCTGCTTGTTGGATCGATAGTTATGAGCACTTAAATAAATCATTTCAAATGTGAACAAAGTTTACAGGCAGTCTGTAGCAGGCAGTAACTGAATAATTAGGGCTGGCTGTGAATAAAAGATCGTGCTCTTCTGCTCAGTTACTCGGTGAGACTGTTATGTTTTAGGTCCTTAGATATGATGTTAGCTTGTCTTCATCTGTAATGAAGGAACACTGACTAACTGTGTCACATTACCAAGAGCTTCAGTTGAAGATCCTAAGTTGCATATCTGTCTAATTAGCCTTATTTAATTGGATGCATTACTGATGAAACATGCTCATAAAAATGTCCAAAAGTATCTAGACACTTCTTTACGTTAGTGAATTCAGCACCTTTACCCAATTTAGGTGCACACGTTGCTGTTCAGTTATGGCCACATAGCTTGTGAGCCACACATGAGCCCAAGGTCATCATGTCTGATTCCTCCAGCACCCAGCGTCATACTGTGGAGCAATGAAACTGCGTTGTCTGAAGTGGTGGATCTCTATCCAATACCTATGGGATGAGTTGGAGTGGCATTTGTGATCCAGAACTAATCATCCACCATTAGACCTTACAAATGCTCTTGTGGATGAATGCTATCAAATACTCACAGCAATGTTCCAACATCTAGTGTAAAGCCTAGAAGAGCAGAGGCTGCTGCTGCAGGAAAGCGGAGGGCAAGTTCCTTATTAATACCTATGATTTTGGAAGAAACATTGATGCACCAATATGGGAATTGTAGGCCAATGTCAATATCTGATATTTGTCATGTACATATCTGCTGATGCCATGACACAAACATTCATAAAATGAGGAAACTGGGGATAAATCACTTTCTATTTCAAATGCTGGAAAATGAATAATTTACAGACATTTTAGCGCAGTAGCCCAGTGTCACTTAAACGTTCTTCCAGAGTACAATACATGTCAAATATCCTTTGGAAATATCTGGCAAATCTAAACGTCTGTATTGCACAGGTAATAGTTTTAAAAGGAAAAAAATTATGATTTCGATGTCGTCTTGCTTCCCTGTTAGTGACCAAGAATCTTGGTCATCACACACACACATATATTAGAATCTCCCTGTTGGGTCATGGTGTTATTGGAAAAGAACAATCAATGAATAAAGGATGAATGCTGGGAACACACCTCTAACTGGGTGTGAGACGAGCCGTGTTTAAATTTTAATGAGAGCGAGTGGGTGAAGGAGAGGAGAGAGATGTGAGTGAAGGGATAAGGAGGAGGAGTGTGTGAACAAGGAAAGGTTGTAGCGTGTCTGCTGGGGGATGGGGTGAACAACCCCCAACACCCCATCCCTACATACTGTGTCACACCTCCTCTGTGTGTGTGTGTGTGTGCGCACGCGCAAGTGTGCGTGTGTGTGTGCTTCCACCTATCCTCATTGCTAGCTGAAGTGAGCAGGTTCTAATAAGAGCAGAAAAAAAGAAGATATATATCTTTCCTAGAACTGTGCAGTCGTTAGCTCGTGCAGTGCATGGCAAAGCTCCCTGGTCTAGCTGAGCTGTTAAATAAATGATATCTTATTAATAATGCACTAAAATAACAGGCAGAATAGTGCAAACTGAGGACACGCCCCCAGAACCAGAGCGCTTACCACTCTGAAGTCTGAACATGAACATTCCAACACACCCGTGAAGGCCAGCAGAGCTGGTTTTGAGTGAATCCTACTCTACTTGATGTGCTTTTGAGATTCACACAGCAGAAGGCCTCTGCAAGAGATCTTTAATCATGATATAACAAGAACTAATGTGTTTTGTTTTACAGTATCATTACGAGGGAAATGACATCAGTGATCTGCCAGTGAATCTGTCCGTGGTTTGGAATGGAAACTTCGTCATTGACAACCCATACAATATAAAAGGTAACCTGGCATCTCAAACTGTTTAAATGGTAACCTGGCAGCCCAAACAGCATATTTGGTAACTTAACAACAAGTATAACCTAGAAAGTAAATTGGTAATGCAATTGATTAGCTGAAGAAGGTGTGTTAGTTTTGGGTTAGACATAAAATGTGCAAGAAGGTTGATGGGTTGATGACCACTGACAACTCAAACAGGATAAAAGGTAACGTAGCAGCCTATACAATAGCAAAGGTAACAGTGAAAATGCATACGATATAAAAGGTAACTTGGCAACCCATACAATTTAAATGGTAACATGGAAACCCATACAATATTAAAGGTAGCTAGGCAACGTATTTTTAATAAAAGGTAACCTGGCAACCCATACAGTTTGAAAAGTAACTTGACAGTGCATACAGTATAAAAGGTAACTTGGCAACCATACAATTTAAAATGTAACTTTGCAAACTAAAGAATAAAAAAGTAAAATTGGCAACCTATATAAAATAGAAGTTAACATGGCAGCCTATACACTAGAAAAGGTAACAATGGAAATGCATGCAATATAAAAGGTAACTTGGCAACCTATCTAATTTTATAGTAACTTGGAAATTCATACAGTGTTAAAGGTAGATAGGCAACTTATTTGTTATGAAAGGTAACCTGGCAACCCATACAGATTGAAAAGTAACTTGACAGTGTATATAATATAAAAGGTAACTTGGCAACCATACAGTTTAAAAGGTAACTTTGCAACCTAAACAATAAAAAAGTTAACTTGGCAATGCATGTAACATTAAAGGTAACTTGGCAACACATAAGGTAACATGGTAGCCCATACATTATAAAGGTAACTTGGCAACCCATACCATATAAAAGGTAACTTGGCAGTGCATGCGATATAAATAGTAATTTGGCAACCTAACAATATAAAACATGACTTGGCAACCCAAATAATGTTAAGGTAACTTGGCAGTCTTGAATCATTTAAAAACCAAACCACACACATGAACCAAACTGGCTGCCTCTTTCAGCCCTGCTGATGTGTGGACACTCTTGTGAATGCTGTAGGCCATGTTGGACAGTGAGTCTGAGTGCTGTGGTTTTGTGTCTCCTGTGTCCAGCTCACCTGTACAAGTGCTACGCTCTGAGGGAGAGCTGTGGGATGTGTCTGAAGGCTGACCCACGTTTCGAGTGTGGCTGGTGTGTGCAGGACAAGAAGTGCTCACTCAGACAAGAGTGCGCTCTACCTGAGCACACCTGGATGCACGCCACAGCTGGCAACAGCCGCTGCACACACCCCCGGATCACCAAGGTGAGCGCTGGAGAAACACACACACTCAAATATACACCAGTGATTTATTTTCTATTTTTATCTTTAGCATCAAAGCAAGGAATTAAAGACACTCAAATTATGAGACGAGGAAAAATAAAAAACTGAAAAAACTAGGATTGTTAATTTAGGAGAGTAATGAAAGTGAGATACACAAGGAGTGTACATATATATTACTATGCATAAATCAGAGACCACCCATCATTTATTTAATTTCTAGTTCATTGATTTTTCAGTGTCAAAGAAAAATTCACAGAAGCCTCAACAACTAAGTAATGTCTTTTTTTTAGTGTTACAGCTTCCATTCTTAGGAGAGTTGCTTTCAGTGTTAGAAGTTCACTTTTAGAAGTTGGTTAAATTTTTCGCTTCTCACTACTCAAGTAATTCCAAAGACATTCTGATGTTGAGGTCTGGAATCAGCTTCTCTCAGTTACTGTATTTTTTCTTTTTTGTCTGTTTGCTTTTCTCAGAAACAGCTTCTTGCAACAGCTAAACCTCCTTTGCATTGTCTTTCTCTATTCCTTTTAATAATTGTTTGAACCAGTTAGTACTCCAGTTTTGGAAACTCATGTTTTTACACTTTCGTATTTATTTCACCTTTTCTTATGCAATCTTATGATTTATTTCCTCAAAAGTATCTCCTGAAAAGCTAATAACTTGTACTTAAGCAACAGTTTTGACTAGAAATTAAATAAATGAAGGCTCTCTGACTTCTGCACAGTACTGTAGATATGAGGGCTTCAGAGTTTGTGTGTGAGCGTGTGTGTGTGTGTGTGTGTGTGTGTCAGAGAGAAGGGTATGTCATAGAGTGAGATGTTGGGGGTATTGGCCTTGAGCCATCTGTAGCTGATGGTAACAGTTGCCGGGCGATGGCTGCTTAGCTGGAAACTCAGGTCATTGTTACTTTCTAATCTGCCACTGATTCTTCACACTGAGACACCAGCACCTGTCATACATCACTTAGTATGTGTGTGCTGGTGTGTGTATGCCTGTGTGTGCACACGTGTTTGATTTTAAGCGCACAGGCATTACCATTCATTTTCAGACTCTGACATGTGCTGTGAGATGTTTTTGTAAAGCCTTATTCTCTTCCTCTCAGTCCTACATACTTTCTCTTTGTGCGTAAAGATTTGCTTTCTCATCCATTCTCCCACTAATTGAATATTAACTGGTGGAATATTTATTCACTGAAAAATCCCTGCGTTCCTGCCAATTAAACTCATCTTTTGTTCTGTGTGGTGCAGTGTGCTGTGCTGTTAGTCGATGGATTAAGTGTTAATTTCATTAGGAGCAGAAGGGAGGATGTACTGTAGAACAGTAGCTTTACTGAGAGCCCTCTGAGGAACTTTCTTTAAGAAGCCAACGTCTTCTCTTCTCTTCTTCTCCTCCCCTCTTTCCAGCACTCCTCCTTTCTTCTTTCTCCTCCACTCCACTCTGTTATACTCCTCCCTCTGGAGGATGATTGTTCTTGTCTGAACTTCCCTTTTGAAACTCTGCCCCTTCTCTTCTCTTCTCTTCTCTTCTCTTCTCTTCTCTTCTCTTCTCTCCCCTCCTTCTTTCTGCTTCTGTTTTTCTGATCTATCTCTTTCTCCATTCTTTCGTTTTTCTCTTTCTAGTCACTTCTGTCCTTTCTTCTATTCCTCTCTTTCCAGCAGTCCTCTTTTCTTTTTTCCTTCCCTCCACTCTCTTATGTTCCTCTCTCTGGAGGAGAGTTTGTGCATGTCCAAACCTCTCTTTCAAAACTCTGCTCATCTCTTCTATTTTCTCTTTTCTTTTTCCTCTTCTCTTCTCCTTCTCTTTCTCTGCTTGTGCTGTCTATTCCATTCTTACTCTTCTTTTCACTTCCTTATTTCTTTCTTTCTTTCTCTCTCTCCTTTTCGCTTCTTTCTTTTTCTTCTCCTGCCTCTTCTTGTTTCTTTTTAATATTTCTATTTACAATCTTGTCAACTCGTTTCTATCCCTTCTTCTTTTTTCTCTCATCTCATCCTTTCTTTCTCTTTCTCATCTCATCTTCTTCTTTTCTCTCTTCTAATTTTTCTCTTCTCTCTCTTCTGTCTACACTCTTCTGTCCTCTTTCTCTTCACTTTCTTTCTCTTCTGTCCGTCTCCATTTCATTTCTTTTCTCTCCTCTCTCTTCTCATCTGCTCTCTTTTTCTTCTCTTTTTTCTTTTAACCTTGTCTTTCTCTTCTCTCTGCTCTTTCTCTTGTCATCTTTTCCTTTTTTATTTTTTCTTCTCTCCTAATGGAGGTGTGATTAAGAACAGATGAACTCCTCTCTGTTGTTCTAACACTGTCTCTCTTCTACTTCTCAATTCAGCTCACACGTTCTGACTTCTCTTAACCTCTTACCTCACATCTCTCTCTCTCTCTCTCTGCCTCACACTCACACAGTCGTCACTTCTTTTCTTTCAGTCTAACATCCTCCCAGCTGTCTGCTGCAGGTGATGGGGAGAGAGTTAAGAAAAGAATCTGTTTGTTCAGCTTTGTTGTAAGAGTCTGTGTGAAGTTGTTGTGAGAGAGCAGTCAACTCTGTCCTAGAGGAGCTCACTCAGTGAAGTGGCTGATTTGTCAAACTGCTTTGTTTCTGGAACAGCTGTCTCCGGAGACGGGGCCACGGCAGGGGGGCACCAGGCTGACCATCACTGGAGAGAACCTGGGCCTGCAGTTCAGAGACATCCAGAACGGCGTCCGCATTGGCAAGGTGGCCTGCCAGCCCATAGAGGAGGAGTACATCAGTGCAGAGCAGTAAGTATCTTCTTAGCTCTTTTCCACTAAGCCAGGGCCAGTTCATCATCTTACATAGTTCTTTGCATTTCCTCCTCAAGAAAGACTGTTCTCACCTGGCAAAATCCAGACCCAGAAACATTCCAGTCACATCAACTTGCTAAAAACAAGGGGTGATGCAGGGGGTGATATCATTCCCAAGTTGTCAACGGGAGATGATCTGCCATTTTTTAATAGAAGTCAAAGGTTTTTTTTTCATGCTTTTCTGAAGAAATTGGTGAAAACAGCAGCAAAATCGTGACTCATCAGCAGAACACGGCCAAGCAGCCAAGGTGTAGATAGAAACACAAGAGCAGAGCCTGGCTCACTTGAAAAGCTGTCATAAACAAATTCAAATAACTTAAAAACCGAGTACAGAGAATATAAAGAACTTTCCAAAAGTGACAGTGAAGAGTGTAAAAATAAATGTGGTGTCAATTTTGACATGCAACAGTCTAGGTCGGCAATCCAAATGTTAAGAAGAGCCATTTTGTCCTTTCAACAAAAATCAATCCACCTTGGGAGGCATAACATTGTATGTCCATTTTACCATCTTGGCTGTAAATATGTCTCAGTATAGTGCTAGTGTGCTAGTTGAGGATAATAAAATATAAACGTAAATGCAGACGTACTTTGCTTTAAGCTTTAGCTCAGCTATAACTGCTTGCATTCTGGCCCCTCAGGCACCATTTAAGGTGGGATGGGAAAATTCGAAAAAGAAGCTGGCAAACAAAAAACTAACTTCAACTTCGCAACTTTCTCATGTCTTGTTGCAGATTAAACATATTAAGAAACCAGCCCAGTGCTTATGATTAGTCAGTTTGTCTCCAAATTATTGATGTTCGTCTTAAGTTTTTCTCGTTCTTCTTTTGGTAGCTACTAGCCAGGCCAGATTCTTATCTCTGTTGCTATGGTGTCTGCGTGCCAACCTTCAGGGTTAGCAGTTATACATTAACGCCAATGTTTGTTAAAACTGTGTTAGACCTAACTATCAGCAAAGCTTTATTTTACTGCAAAGGACAATAATTTTATGTTTACCTACAAATTCTGCTGTGGAGCCACGACAGGGCAGTACAAGAGCCGCATGTTGCCGACACCTGTTCTAGGCTAAGCAGAGTGTTCGCATCCAACTTTGTAGTTATTCGACTTTGAAGCCAGTGGAAATCCAAAAAAAGGCATAAGCACTGATACCTGTTAGTAGAAAAGGGGCATCTATTTGACCATCTCTGCTCTTCCCTGTTTTCCTCTCTTCCTCTCTCTCTCTATCCATTTATGCAGTATCAGAATGCAAGTAACTATACACTCACTGTGGTACACGAAGATGTTGAGTAAAGTTAATTTTTCACGCTATTGTAATGTTCAAAATTAGCCCATTGTAATGAAGCTATTATAACATATGATGTGTTAAAGATGTTCTGACTGTACTGAGAGGCAGGATTGCAGTGAGCAGGGTGACGGTTGTCTGACCTTGCTCTTCTGGTTTCCATGCCAGTGTAGCTGATTATGACCCACCTCTAAGATGAGCAGGTTTAATTGAAAGTGATTTGGTGCTCTGGGATCAGGAGAGGTGAAAACCCCTGTCCTTCCTCTGCCTGCGTGTGTGAGGGGGAGAGAGAGAGAGACAGAGGCGAGACTGTTAATGTCAGGGATCAGTGCGAGTTCATTTAAACCTGTGATGGACTAAGATTATTATTTATACTCCACACACTCACACACAAATGTGAGCTCCCCTTCACACATTTTGTGCTTAGATGGTTGTCCTCTGTATAACGGTGCATAAATTCATATCAGTTATCAATTTTAGGCACATACACAGTTTCTTCATGTAGTATCTCATCATGTTCACCATCCTCCAGCTGCCTATGCTATTCAGCACTGGAGGTTTGAGTAGTAGCCAGTGTTCTTTCTAGCTGAAGAATCTAACAGAGAATAAAAAGAGAGCAACCAAAGACTCTGCGGGGCTTCTGAGGATGGAGGAACTGAAAGAAAGTAATTGACATTACTTGGTTTTCAAAGGAGAATTAAAGTGAAGTGTCTGGATAACTATATTATGAGAGGCAAGATGGGTATACGGCTATAAAGCTAGGGCAGTTTAACGGGCTACACAATGGAAGAACCATTAGTAACTCTGCCATCTAGTTACTCCTCTTGAGTCAAAATCTGAAGTATGACTCAGTCCTCTCTCACCGTATTATGTCATCATCTTGCTGCTCTTTAATCGGTGTGGGGACACTATTGCCATGGCAGCGGCATTAGCGGAATGCAGAGATGCGGGTCGCCGTGGGAGCAGTTGCCGTGGCCACCCTTAGAGAGGACAGAAGCAGGGGAGGTAATAACCCACTATGAGAGGAGGATGTGCCCTAGGGCATGATGGGAAGGGTGAGCGTATTTCATTAATCACAGAGATACTGATACACACATGCACACCCTACCTAGCTAATTAACCCACCAGTGAGACTACACACCATGAAACAGAAGGTCCAGCTCTGTGTGTGAGAGAGAGAGAGCCCTGAGGTGCTGTACAAGCTTAGCTGTGCTTTCCTTAGTGTCCTGTCTTGCTCCTCCGTCACTGCTGAAATGGGTTTTCATTAGAGCAGTTGGTGGCTTAAGGCGACTTCCACAGCTCTTACAGGACTGTCTTATCCATCCATTCTCATCCATCTCTCTCTCTCCCTCTCTCTCTTTTCAGCAACAGGGCGGAAGAGCATTTTCTTGAGCAAAGTGAATGTCAGACTGAGATTAGAATTGGAATTAAAATGCAAATGTTTTTTTCTCTCTCTCTCTCTCTCTCTCTCTCTATCTCTATCCTCTCTCTCCTCTCTCTCTAGGATTGTGTGTCGCTTGGCAGATGCTACAGGCTATCGTGTGCAAGAGGCTCAGGTGGAGGTTTGTGTGAGAGATTGTCAGCCGGAGTATAGAGCCATCTCTCCTAAAGCTTTCACCTTCGTGGTGAGTACACCATACTCTTCATCATACTCTGATAGCACGCAAGACCTTCTGCTTAAAGCTATAGTTGTGTAGTTGTCTCAATAAGTTTTTGTCCCTGATCCTGATTGGTCATTTAATATTGAACGTCTACCCAGGCCCAGTCCAATTTGTGCATATTCATAGATAATAAAGCCACACAGTGCACACTTCAAGTTCTAGTTCAGTTCAGGTTAAGTATGGTAGGCTAGCAACTACTTCAAAATGCCACAGCAAAATTGCTTCATTTTTAGATTGCGACACTCTAAACTGATACTTTTTTGTCTTTTTTGAAACTGCCATTTTATGATATCTTGAATCCTAGTTCTATGTTTTTTTCTGGCTTTGTTACCACTGAATGTGTAATAGCCACACTTACATTTTACATGTGGCTTGTTTAGCTGTGTTTTGACAAAATGTGCTGAGCTTAACCGCAGTCGAATCGCTGGCATTGTACATCCTACGAGTGCCTGTTAGGCTGTTTATCTTCCACATAGTTCCACAGTGTTTCCACCCTGCGCTGCATAGTTGCACTGCATATTATATTCCCCCAGTTTCAACATACCTACTCATACTATTAGCTAATTAGCAACCCCTTGCTGAGCTGAATCTGGTGTGTTAGAGCAGAGGAAAATGTAAAACTATGCAGTGCATGAGAGGCTCTAGGATTGGAGATGGGTAACTCATTTAGACAGCTAAAAATACTAAAAGTAATGCCTCACTGCCACAAGTTGTGGATAACGTACAGTCACTTTCATCACCTCTGACATAAATAGAGCACAAAGGAGTGAAAATGGGATTGGATGTGATATAATTAAATGGTAGCAATCTATTAAAATTTGCCTGCATCGGCTCTGGTACTGATCTTTCAGATTAAATTTGAAAATTCCTAGAAGTAATCATAATATTTTTAGACGTGTTTAATACTTCTGGGTAGCATCTTTCATTTTCTTCTATGCAGTACTTTACACTTGAGGTAGTCTTACAGTGAATGCTCTGGGGTAAGGAGTTAAAGGGCTTTTCACATGACAAATGACAATCTGCAGTCTGGACGAGTAGCTCGGCTAGCTCAACTTTTGTGGTCGCAACTCAAGGATCGCACTGGTGTCAGCTAATGGCATTGGCCTTTTTGCTGGGGAAGCACCTTATGCTTAAGTTGGTGGCTGTCTGCTTAGACATTTATGGTTATTCATATTTTCAGTGTTTTGCAATTTCTTTTTTTATGTATATATAGAATAGTAGTACAGTCTGTGCTGGCGGTGTTCTAGCACTGGAGTCACCATGGTTACCATACAAGAGACATGAGCGATTTTCCACCTGTCATATGAAAAGCTGTGCAGAGCAGTGCAGTTCTGACCTTTCATACGGGAGGCGGAGAGAGAACAATGCGACACTTGCTGTGTGAAAAGCCCTTAATACTGACTTCAATCATAAATGTACTATATGAGTAACAGTTTACTGTGTGTGTGTGTGTGTGTGTGTGTGTGCGCGCGTGTGTGTGCGCGCATAGTCTCCATACTTCACGCGTGTGGTGCCGATGCGTGGGCCGGTCTCTGGCGGGACAAGGATCACCATCCATGGTAGCCACCTGAACGCGGGCAGTGCAGTGTCCGTCAAAATCGGACTCAACACCTGCCATTTCGAGAGGTAACGTTGCACATCATTCGCTTCTCTTTTCTCTTTAGCTCATGCAGCAGCGTTAATATACAGTGAAATACAAAAGTTTAGGGCACCTATGGTCAAATAATTCCATGTTTTATTGATTTTCTAAGTGAAAGTCCTTTTAATGCACGGTTACCGTTTATTTGCTGAATTTAACATAAAAGATGGAAATAAAACAAAATGTGCAAAATATATGTTTTATTTTTTCCAGTGTGTTAAACTCAGATTGCAGTAAACAGAGGTTGTGCAGTAAAATTTGCTGAAAAACACACATATTTAACTATGTTCTCTGTATGTTCACTTTGAAATTGATCAAAATGTGTAATATGACCCAGGAGTTGTTCACTTTTGCGTATGACTGGATGTTCCTCCATTCCACAATGCAATCTAGTGGTATCATGAAAGGAATTGAAAGAATGCTGAGAAGAAGAGCAATTATCCAAAGAGCCGTGTGAGTATGCGGTGGTGTTCACCTCTTGGAACATCTGCCCACTCTGTCGTCTCGATGAGGAAAAAGGGGCTTAGTTAACACTTCTCACAAGAGCGTCCTGGGATTTTCCCTCTGATGGTGAAGAGAGGGAGGAAATGAACTAATACCGCTTATCCTCTGCTCCTCCTTTCTTTTCCCCGATGGATTCCCAACACTGACAAAAAAATAAATAAATAAAAAAAGATCCAAGCTCCAAAATTTCCAGCATCTGGCGTTTAATCTGTGCTAGGTGATTTAGCCCGAGCTTAAACCTATTTCTCATGGTGGAGCTACACCCACACTCGCACTCACACTATCTTCATCCCCACACTCTGTCTGACACATGTAAGGAGTGGCGGGCGTGCGGGAGGTTTTGAAAGCGCGCGGAGGGCGGATTGATTTGGGCCTGCCAAGCGCCTGTGTCTGTATGTGTGCGTGTGGAGAGCCGTTTTGTCTTCATATCTGGGCTTCCAAAAGAACAGGAGCCCTTCGCCTACACCTCCACTTTATGCCCAACTGAGGCGAATGTGCTAGGTATTTATGAATAAGACCTGTGTGTGTGTGTGTGTGTGTGTGTGTGTGTGTGTGTGTGTGTGTGTGTGTGTGTGTGTGAGAGAGAGTGTAAAGGGGTTTTTGTTTAAGCAGTCATTCATTTGCTTATCTACACTCTGCAACATCTTCATGTTATTTCCCATCCTATCTCTCGTTTTCACTCTCCTGCTTCTTCACACCTCTCACCTTCTTTTTCTGTGTTCACTCTTTCTCTCTCTTCTTGCTTTATCTCTTCCTGCTTTTTGTCCCTCTTCTTTCTTGCTGCCTCTCTTGCTTTCCTCCCTCTCCCTTCTTTATTGCTCTCATTTCTTACTTCTCTCTCTCTCTCTCTGTCTCCTTTCTCACTTTCTCTTTCTTTATTCTTTCTTTCGTCTCACTCTTGCTTTTTCTCTCTATTTCCCTCTCTTTCTTTCCTCTCTCTCCCTCTCGCTCTCTCTTCTTCTCTCTCTGTTTCTCTTCTCTCTCACTCATGTTCTCTCTCTCCTCTTTTAAGATCTCTCGCTCTCACTGTCCCTCTTGTTTCTTGCTTTCCTCTCGCATATTTATTGCTCTCATTTTTTATTTTCTCTCTCTCTGTCTCCTTTCTCACTTTCTCTCTTTTTCCTCTTTCGCTCTTTCTTTATTCTCTTGCTTTCTCTCTCTATTTCCCTCTCTCACTTTCTCTCCTCTCTCACTCTCTCTCTCTCTCTCTCTCTCTTCTCCTTTTTGATCTCTCTCTCTCTCTCTCGGTCTCGCTCTCTCCCTCTCCTCCCTCTTTTTTGCGCTCTCTCTGTGCTTGTGACAACAACCTTGTCAAAATATGTACAGAACTCTGCGGGTTTCTCGGCTGCGTGTTGTGAAAATGGTTGCCTGGGCAACACAGCGAGAGCGCATCAGTATAAGAATTCTATGTGCGTGCACACACGCTCGTGCACGCTGAGACACACATTCCTTTTCTTTTCAACTAAATTAGGAGGACGAGCAAAGTATCTGGCTTTTGTTGTATTTGTCGCTTTTTACGGACGTTACAAATGTTGTCCTGAGGAAGCTGAAGTGCTGCTTTCAGACGGATCAAGCCCACATACTCACATACACAGCCCAATTCATCACTCTTCTTCTTAACTAGTCTTAACTAAGACGTGGTTTGAATCATCCTTTTGTATGTATTGAAACGTGTGTGTGCTGTCGTCCAGGCGCAGCGCGAGGGAGATAGTGTGTGTGACTCCAGCGGGCCTGAACACCGGGGGCACTCCTGTGATGGTGGACATTAATGCAGCAGAGCTGCGGAATCCTGAGGTGAAGTTCAACTACACCACTGACCCCACCATCGCCAAGATCGAGCCTGACTGGAGCATTGCCAGGTACAGAGGAGGGAGGGGTACACAGATAAAAGGAAGTGGTCTAGCATGATGGTGCATGTGGGCTTTTGGTGCCTCTGACCACCAATATGTCACCACAGTTTTAGGACCTGTGTAGCCTTGCATCACATAGCATTATGGAGATGGAGATAGCATTTTCATTAGAAATGGCACATGGCTATTTTATCTTTTCCAGTAATGGTATTGAAAGTTTGAGTGTTGGTCAGTACCAGTACCAAGCCAGTCATTTTTCTGTGTAAACTACTAAACTTGCCACAGCCGTTTATAGCCAGGAGTCTAAGGGAGCATAAATGGCCTTGCCCTCTCTGGGTAGGTAGGATGGCCATTTCTTTCTCCCCATCACTCAGCATGATGCTGACATGGTTGTCTGTTAGCGAACATGACAGAACTGGAAGTTGGCATTCTCCTTTAAGCATACTGAGCTGTCCAATGATAATGTGAAAGCAGCGGTTTAAAAGATGTGGTGGTGCTTCACTTGGAGAAAGCACATGCTAGCCTTCCTCCCAGCTTGGTAGCGTCGTGTGACTGGGGAGACCTAGCTGGTGGGTGGAATTGAAATTTTTAATTAAAGCATATCACTTAAAAGTAGACTATCTTGCTGAATCTACTCAAACACTCTACTAGCCCACAGGAAGAAATCACACAACGCGTAACACAGCCAATCACATCACACAGCATATATGGGTGCTTTTTCAGGCTTGATTTGTTACAGTTATGGATCTTATTTTTTTTTTTTTTCCTTTAATATCTGATCAAGCATTGATATTGGCCCACATTGGTACTGGTATGCCATGTCTTATTTGCATGTCAGTATTTTGTTATTTGATTATTCTTTAGATTTATAGTTAGTTATTCACACTGTCTTCACTCTGTTAAGATGGCTTAACAGCAGGTCTGATGCAAACAGTGAACGAAAATACAGTTCATTTAAATGTATGTTTATTTTTGCAGTATATTGAAGTTATTTATATGGTGATTTGGTAAAATTTCATGATTGTAATTAGTTATTGTAGAATTAATTAGTAGAACAGTGCTGAGTTGCATTAGCCACATAAACTCATAAAAGCAAAATGACCAATGGTTGTGTAAAATGTCTGGTAAATATGTATGGCAGGTCATTTAAAATGCAGTTAATGGTTGCATTGTGGTTTTGAATAAAAGTAACAAAAAAGCCATTTGATAAGTCAAGGTAAGTTTGAGGTACATTGTGCAGACCACTGGTATAGAACCTTATGTTTAAAATCAGTAGCATTGCCAAAGGACTGCAGATGTGTATGTGAAGCGTAGGAGCTTAAGCTGCCAGGGACGTTTGTGTAGCTCGCTGAGTGTGTGGGTGATGCAAAACCTTCACTTCAGTTCAGACCCTTATATTGCTGCTTCACAGGCCTGTAGAACACCCACACCCTCGAGACACACTCTCTCTCCAGTGTGTTCACTCTGTGTGTGTTTGAGAAAGAGAGCGAAGCTGGACAGCTGTGTCTGCAGGGATCACACCAACATCAGAGTCGACAGACGAAAATGGCTGTCAGTGGGGCCACGCTCCAAAACAGTGGCACACTAGCAACCTGAAAATGAGAACAAGCTTTCAAAATCCAGGGAGAGAGGGGGCTAGTTGGTAGTGAAGTGATGTGAAGGTGTGAAGTGAGGAGCGAGAGAAAGAGAGAAAATGTATAAGCCCGAGGGGAATGACCTCTTTTGGCCCTCATATTTGTTGCTTTGATCCCATTGGAGCTTTTCTTGATTGACAGCGAAGCAATGAGTTTACTCGCCTTGTCTCTGGAAACAACTCACTTTTCTTGCTGACCTAAACGTCTGTACATATCATACCAGTTCTACTGGAAAGTATCAGCCCAAGAGGCAAGGCTGACCTCTATTTAGGACTAAGCATTGTCGCTTGGTGTGTACACCATGTTTTGTAGGTTAACACATCTCTAATTACATTACTTATCAGTGATAGCCCACACTGGGGTTTCGCCCACGTCAGACTCTGAAACATATTGTAGATTTTGCTCACCAGAGGGTATGAGGGATAGACTAATCCTTTAGAAGAGACTATATTTACCCATGTAATTACCTAACTGAAGGTGTGTGTGTGTAAGGTTAAGTAATTGTTAAATCACTGCTTAATCACAGCTAATGGGTAACCAGAGGCTAATTAACTCATTAAGACATTTCATATTGGCCACTATGGTGACCCACATAGGTTAATGTCTTATTGAGACGTACAGGAAGCAGCATATTATCAGGACAGTATATATATTTTGTAATAGAATATGGATGGACTGGCCAGTTGCTAAGTTAGGCTATGATATCTCTTTAATGACAGAGAAGATGAGTTCTGTTCTTAATGCCTGTTTTTTTAGGAAGGTGGCAGAGTATGGAAAGACCGCCTGTCACGAAGAGGGCCAGTGCCTCTACACCACCAAGAACTAGCTATTGATATACTGAATTTGGCTTGACTAGCTATTGATGTACTGAATTAGCCTTCAGCAGAATGTGATATACTGAATTAGCCTTCAGCAGAATGTGATATACTGAATTAGCCTTCACTGGCCACTGATATACTGAATTATCCTTCACTTTCCACTGATATATTGAAGTAGCCTTGAATTTACCTTCACAAGATTGATACTGAATTAGCCTTCACTAGCCACAGATGTACAGAATTGGCTATTACTAGCCACAGATATAGTGAATTAGCCTTTACTAGCCATAGATAAACTAAATTAGCCCTCACTAGTCAGATACTGAATTGGCTTTTACCAGCTACTGATGTACTGAATTTGCCTTTCATATACTGAATTAGATTTCACTAGAGTGATTTTCTGAATTAAGCTTCACTAGTTACCAATATACTGAATTAGCATTCACAAGGCTGCTGTTATAAACTAGACTAGATGCTCGATACTGATGTACTGAAGAAGCTTTTACTAGATACTGATGTACCTTATGTGCTCATGTGATAATTCTGACTTCAGTAGTTGTTCCTTTGCTTTAAAAGTTGCTATGATGTCCCTTAAATGAAGATGAGAGGCTGGATCTAAAATTGACAGGTTTTTATATAACCTTCTTTTCTTTCTGTAAGTGGTGGGACCCCACTGACCGTCACTGGTACCAACCTTGCCACCGTGAGAGAGCCAAAGATGAGGACGAAGTATGGTGAAATCCAGTCCATCAACGTAGGTGTTTTATACACACACAGCAGTGTCCCTCTACCGCCTACAGCTTTATTCCCTTTTGCACATTCAAAATATCATACCTCCCCATAGAAACAGATACACAGGGGGGTATTGAATTGCCCTCTGAGTAACCCTGCCCTAGGCGTGTTTGCGCATATGTGTTTGTTTGTGAAGGTGTTTGTGCATGTGTCTGCGTGCATGTGTGTAACAACGATTCTCCTTTTAGCAGTTTAACCTTTAAAATGTCAGCCGCTGAAGGAAAATCAGTCCTAAGAGGGAAGTGGCAGTGGCCCCCTGCTGAGTCTCCATTGGACTGGAGGAACATTTCCCCTGCTTGACCTATATACCTGACCACAGCACTCTTTCACCACCTACTCCTCCTCTCCACCTCCTACTGACTCTCTCTCCTCCCACCACCTTATCCCCAGCCAACACCCACACATTCCCTCAGTCACACATCAAACTTAATGTTTCTCTCTCTTCTCCCCCCGATCAGAACTGTACAGTGGTCAATAACACAGTGATGGTGTGCTTGGCCCCCTCCGTGGCTGCTGCAGACACTGAGAGAAGCTTATCTGAAGTGGGCAGTAGTCCAGATGAGATAGGCTTTGTTATGGATAATGTTCGGACATTGCTGGTGGTGAATGAAAGCTTCACCTACTATCCAGACCCTGTGTTCGAGCCTCTCGCCCCAACTATGCTGGAGCTCAAACCTGGATCCCCGCTGATACTAAAGGTAGGATGTGTGTGTGTGCTACTTGTACACTTGAATGTCCAAATAGTAATAATAATTACTATAAAATAATATCACATTAAATAAAAGAATGTAATCCCATAAAAAGTTCAATTTTAAAGCAGCATTATTTAAGATTTTTTGTTAAACTGGGAGAAATAGCATTACTGAGTCAGGATTTTAAAAAAAGCATGCTAAAATATGGCATGTGTGCGCTCCTGTGAGTCACCCTGTAAGGCCTGAAATAATAATTTTAAAGTCAGAGGTGCCAGGTTGGATTTTGCAGGGTTTTCAGGTCACATCATACATCTTTAAATATGTCACATGCACAGGCTCAAAGTTCCATCTCAGTGTTTAGGTCTTAAATGCAAAATCGACATTATACTAATGAAGATATGATGACAATAGTAGACAATTCATAGAGTTTTCTATGAATACTCTTTCAACACACTCGCAATCATCAGATTCATCCACCTGGGGAAGGGTTCCAAAGCAGAACTGACATTATAAAATGTTCTTTTACACGTTGCATACAATTACAGTTTTCACCAGAGAGGTCCCCAAATTCCCAAAACTTTAGTGTAGCTGTAAGTAAACATTGTCCAAATGACTGCCACTAGTGTTTTAGCTACGTAATGAACTTTTATAGATAACAGCTCAGAAACATCGGTTGATCGGTTTGCTTTGAGCAGAAACAGTATTTTAATGTTTCTGTTCTTGCATTACTGCCCTAACAACCGTTCTAAACTAGGTTTTTGTTTGTGAATCAGTAATTATTTCCAACATATAGATAATAATTTACTGGAGGTTGATCAAAATCCAAATACCTGTCAGTAGAGTTATCAGATTCACAGTTTAAGATATGCAGACACATGCTAGCTGGTTAATTGATTTACCACATCATGGTACATGATGCAAAAAAAAGCACTGTAGTGTAGGGCTGCAGTCTAATTAAATGTTATGAATACGGAATGAATCTATAGCCTAAGCAGAAAATACCATTCAGTGTAAATACATTCAATGTAAATCTTATGAATTGATACTTTGAGTCAAGTCACACAAAATGTAATATTGATCCAAAAACATTTGGGAGTTTGGAGATGAGACATCGATTATAAGGCAGTGAGCTACACAGAATGAGAAAATGGCATTATTAACCCCTAACAACAATTTCACAGTAATATTTCTGTTCTGGGACTGTTAAGGATGATTGTTTTGGTTGCACAAATATTTTGCTATTATTTCCAAATTTCATTTTGAAGCCCTGGGTAACAGCGTGTCGGATGTTGGAAGCTATGTGAACGCGTCTGTTTGAGATTACATAAATGATTATTACTTACATTAATGATTATTACTGAGATATAAGCTTCCATTACTTGTGAGAAACACTAGCCTTGTAGTGTAGCTCCAGTGCAGTATTAAAGAAGTAAACTTCAGATACCAGACACGTCCCTCAAACCATTTCAGCATTGTCGTTTCTAGAATGGCATCCGTATGATACCACACCCACATATTAAGCACCCAAACCACTGTTCTTATCAACGACGGCTACTCCATTAGAAGAGTGTTTACGCAGATAGTGTTAGATAGGAACAGCTGAAGAGCTTGACGGCATTCTAAGTCTAGCTTTGCGACCTATCTTCCGCAGTCACTGATACCATCTAAAAAGACTGTTTACTCTCCGCAACATCCATTTCTCTCCCCTTTTGAGCTTGTGCTGCTTCTCCTCATCTCGTCTGCCGATATAGACTTTATTCCCCCCCTCTCTCCTCTCTGCTTGAACTTCAAAGCCCTGGTTTAAAAACCCGTCGTGGTATTTTTAATGGAAAAATGTTTCTTTTTCCCCACAGCCAATTCGAAAGTAAATACCATAGCAAGAAGCACCGTGACTTCCATAACCAACTTTCTCTAGTTAAATCAAGCTCGGTAATGAAACATTTTTTTGATTACTGCATTTCTGCTGAGCGGCAGAGCCCCCTCTCACCCCACACAGAAAATAAGAGCAGCAAATCAACCCAATTCCATTAAATAATTGCAGATAAATTAGATGTGCATCAGATTTTCTGTGCAATTAATTTTTCTCCACTTTGTGCAAGGCCTCCTGGGTAAAATACGAGGTGTGTGTGTAAATGAATATATGTATGTGTGTGTGTGTGTGTGTGTGTGTGTGTGTGTGTGTGTGTGTGTCGCTATTCCTGGGTTTTATTTACACGTTTAATTGGATCCCCTCTGGTGGTAAATATCTCTGCACGCACTGCCATGCAAACCTTTCTGGTAGATTCCGCCCCCAGGCCTGTCTTCCCATAAGCCCCCTGGGGAGGAGGGGATATTGGATATTGGCAAGCTGACTGTATCCCTGCGAGAGAGGGAATGCACTCTCATTGTAAGGATGCACTGTTTCGTCGACACTGTTTCACAGCCTCCATATGATTAGCCCTTTTTTATACTCAGCAAACATGAGGAAATGTGACTGGTGCTGCATTTCGGATGCTCAGGTGAAGCCTGGATTTTTGAAAGCATCCCTGAACATTAGAACTCAGAATGGCCAAGAGACTCAAAATGACTGCTGAGATATTATTTTTTTTACAGTAAAACAGTGCAGTTCACAGTTTAAGTTTGGGCACAAAGTTTGGCTCATGTATGCCTGAAATTAGTGTCTATTAAGTTGATGTCTATTATTTGGAATTTATTTCTAATACCAAAAATTGGATGAATAAATACATATATACACACACAATTATTGGTTTTGAAGAATCTAAAGTATAAATTTGATTTTGAACACTTTTTTTGTTCACTCCACAATTCGATGTAAAGTAGTAAAAACTAGGAACGCACACCACCAGTCCTTGGGCAGGATTCCTAACACTACATCCACCCTACCTCTGTACATGATTGAAGTATCAGGTTGCTCTGGATAAAAGCGTCTGCCAAAGGGTTATTCTCATTTTTTCTCATATTCAAATTTAAAAACTCAAACTTAATATTTCTGTTTTTGGATGTACAAACAATGCCTGGGTAAAAATTTAAAAACCAACCTGAATGATAAATTTATTTTAAATTGATTTTTGCTGTGATCAAATTCTCATTACCGCAGCCCAATAAGATTGGAAGATAAACACTCTTTACAGATTTATTACTTTTCTTTTCATAATCTGCAAATGTTATAAAGCCAAAACGCCAAACGCATATATATAATAAAATACAGCATCTTTACCTCATTAGCGCAACACATTGACAGTCATTGAGCTTTTCTTTTTACTTATGTGACATTTTGTTGTTTTGGTTTACCTTCTTAGAGGAAAACGTTGAAGATAAGGAATTCAACAGACACATAGACATATTGTGGTCATGAGAATTGGGGTAAAAAAAAACACAAAAAAAGTAAAAAATGAATGATGTAACATTTTGCTGTAGAGTACAGAGCTTTGATCTACTAGATTATATAAAAAATATGTATCTGCTTTATTATGACATTCAAATATTTATGGACATGGTTTGAGGTGTTTTTGTGAGAATGGCATTAATGGAAATGTTATATGGTACATTTTGGAATATTTGTAGTCCCTGCTTTCAAACATTTGTGTTTGTGTTTGTTTCAGGGGAGGAACTTGATTCCACCAGCTGCTGGCAACACCAGATTGAACTACACAGTCCTGATAGGAGACGAGCCATGTGTGTTGACTGTGTCAGAGACTCAGCTGCTGTGTGAATGGCCCAACCTCACCGGACAGCACAAAGTCACTGTGAGTTTACACACTGACCTTTTATCAGTTTCACATTAAATCTCTTTTGGCTTTCCTTGGGCCTTGTCCTTGTAATCCAAACTGACTGGAAATGATCAGTGATGTACATCCTGTATCAGTAAATGTCTGTGATTCATAAGCCTGTATACCAGGCAGTACACCAGCAATACTGAACATCAGGATATGGAATTGATATTGGGGTGTTATTTTTCCACTCTGCTGTATCAGAATGTCCTACTTTTATGTCATCCTCCTTTGTTAGGACATAAGCCTGGAAGAATGATGTATTTAAATTTGTTCTTTGCTAAAAATACAAGCTGTAGTTCAGCTGTGGTAAGAGTACATGCATATTTCTGTGGTTTTAGTTGTGCAGCCATATGTCAGAATGTTGGCGCAAGACTATTCAGCATGCAAAGTTAGATGCCACCCAGTTCTAGTGTTAAAGACTATTTATGCAGGACTTCGTTGGAAATATTGAGTGAGCCAGCCTGTAGTTATACACTGTGGTTATGGTGAAGAAGCATGTTGTCTTTGATCAGGCTCTGTTATGTGCTATCGGTTCAGTGTTTACTGTTCACTCAACTCTAGATATTAAACAAGTATTCACATTTGCATGCTATTATGGTAGTTATTTTATTCTTTTATTCCTTTTTTCCCCCCATATATTTTCTGACATTGATTTTTTTTGTTTTCTATAATACGTCCTCTCATCCTTTCATTTTTGCTATTTCGCACTGCATCTATTCATCTTCTCCCCTCTTTCAATTTTTTTCATATAATCTGACATGATGATTTTTAATGGCTGGAGCGTTCTGTGTCCGTAGGGATTTGTGCGAGGTTGATTTTATTTACAGCCTATAATGATTAGTGGACTAGCAGACAGGCAGATCTATTTTTATAGTATATTCTATCCTTAAGCTGGAGACGCTTTTTTTTTTCTTCCAGACACGGTCTTTATACATTAATTTTCCTCATATGCCAGGGGTATTAAAATAGCATGCTGCTATTTTTCCCAAGCCGTCTGCTCTCCTTATGTGAGGGAAAAACCCCGAGGAGAAAACGATAGATAGAAGGGGGGAAAGAAAGAGAAAGGGGGGAAAAAGGGAGAACAAGAAAGAAAGAGAGACCCTCTGAGACCTGCAGGCCCAGATGTTTGTCCTCGACCTATATATTCTGACCTATATTACACTGGGCGAGGGAGTCGGAACATCCAGCACGCTTTTTGTTTTTTTTTTTAATCCTTTCGCCTCACTTGCCTTATCTGCTGCTTTTTCTCTCTTTTTCTTTCATTCACAGCTTAAATTGTGTGTAAGAATTCCCTTAGCGCTGTTTGACTCTTTTTAACCTCTGGCATATACCTGAATGTCTGAACACCAGCTGGCTTTGTTAAAAACACTGTATAGTGTTCAAACTGTAATTTGCATTTGGTCCTCTGTGCATCATCTCTATTGTTTTGATCCCCTTTTATGTACGGTTGTGGTGGGCATTACTATTCTTTTCAAAGATCTGAATCATTTGACTTAGTTCACGGAAATTATTTGTTTCTCCTGAATCAATTTACCAGAGTTATTCAGCGTTTCAGTGAACTGCTTCAGCACACTAACAGTTCTGTGTTCTGTGCTGTGGTTGGTGTTATATCTACACAGCAACTGAGTAGGCTGTATATTCAGAAAAAAGGGCCCTTCCTTAGATTAGTCTGTATGGTCATTTACATAAATTACATGATGCACCAAAATGAAAATTCCTGACTCAAACTGAAATTCAGGACGCTGAACTGACAAATGAAAAAGCTCATACATAAAAGCAGTTTACATAAAATAAAAGCACTGAAATGCTTGCAGTATATAGGCTACAGAAAGTGCCGTGAAATCCAGAGAATGTTGTACTTTGTTACTGTTGTCAAAACTATGGTATTTTTGCATGCTTGCAGGGACTTTTTGCTTCTGTTGTTCTGTTGTGATTTTAAATGGTATCAAACCTGTAGAGGAGAAGTTGTTGGATGCTGTAAGCCCTCTTGATACTCTAATGTTCCTCATAGAAACCATGATGAAGTTTCACACGACCGACATTTTCACTGTTGATCCGCACCATTTCTCACTTTCTTTACCATTAAAATATTTATAAACTCCTAGGTACACTTCATCGTAGGCCTATTTAGCCTGTGTTATTTGGTCAAAATCTTCAGCCTTTTTTCTCTTTAAAAAGTGAATGGGCTATTTTTGACTACTTTTGGATTCTTACTTAGCATAACATTTTAACAAAGAATCTTTAGTCTTTTAAACACTGAAGCACCTGGTTTTCAAACATCACTAGGAATCACAACTAATACTGAGGCCTACCATATTATTTATCATTTACCTCACTGGTTTCACCTCTCTCAGTAGGTTTTGGTTGCCATTATGCACCACTTATGATGAGCCATTTTTCAGTAGGCTTATAGGTGCCTAACGAGCACAAGAATATTTGGAGCAACAGTAGAGGAAGTCTGTCATTGTCTATAGCCGAGAAAGTTAGCAGAACAGAACAGGTTGGGGGATCCCGAGTTTTGCGAAGTATTCTAAGCGTTTGCCCTATTGAGGCGATGCCTCAGCCATCTGTGGCCAGGGGTCCAAGGAAGCATAATTGGCTTCGCTCACTATAGGATGGCCATCCCTCTCCCACTCAGCACGATGCTAGCCAGTGCTGATGTAACAGAATTGGCAGTTAGCGTTTTCCTCCAAGCACGCTGAGCTGTGCATTGATGTTTCGTTAGCTGCAGTACGAAAACGTACAGTGTTGCGTCGCGTGTCTTGGAGGAAGCACGTGTTAGCGTTAGATTGGTAGCATTGTATGATAGCAGGAGACCTAACTAGCGGTGGAATTGGACATGACTAAATTGGGGAGAAGATTGGGTAAAAATGAAGAAATAAAAGGACTCCTCACTAACAGACTACATTTCCATGATACACCTCTTCCTCTTCTTAAATTGTTCTGGCATTGTGGAGATGCTGTGCCTAATGTAGTCTGACTGTATGTAAGAGCTTTCTGCGGTTAGGGCTGTTTAATTGATGTGCTCAGTGTGGAGGTGTGAGGTTTTAGTGGGTTTAATGGGAAAAGCTTTAGTCTGCATGTTCCTGGTAATTACAGCTGTTAACAGCCACTTACTACAGAATGCTCAACAGAGACATTAAGTGAAAACACTGAAAATAGGGGAGGTGCCACACTTAACACATGTTGGTGAAAGTGTATGTGTGTGTGCTTATGTAGGTCCAGGCGTTGTGTATTTACTCTGTTAATTGTGTGTGTGTGTGCGGTGCAGGTGCGGGTTGGAGGGTTCGAGTATTCCCCCGGCACGCTCCAGATCTACTCGGACAGTCTGCTGACGCTGCCCGCCATCATCGGCATCGGTGGTGGAGGAGGCCTCCTACTGCTAGTCATCATCATCGTCCTCATCGCTTACAAGCGCAAGTCCCGCGACGCTGACCGCACCCTCAAACGCCTGCAACTGCAGATGGACAACCTGGAGTCCAGGGTGGCTCTGGAGTGCAAGGAGGGTATGACATCTACTTTATTTCCCTCTATTTACTTCTCCTCTTCTGTTGCACAGCTCGATGTTAGCGTTTAAAGTAGGGTTGCACTGATAGGGGAATTGTGAGCTGATGCCAATATCTGGTATATTTCATGCACATATCTGCCAGTGCTGATAGATAAACATTTATAAAATGTGGAAATAGGGCATACGTCCATCTCGACTAGCATTACGGAGATATATAGCATTTGTAGATGGTTACAAATGCAGTAAAATGAATAAAATGCAGACATTTTTGGGTGACCCAGCATCGCCCAAACGTTCTCCTCTTCTGAGGTACAAAAATACATCAGCAATAAACGTATCATTTTGGTTTTGAAATATTGGACAAATCTATCTGATGTCTACATTTTTTAAAAGCAAATATCTGCTGATTTGATATCATTGTGCATCTCCAGTGTAAAAGATAAAGGATTTTTTTAGTTCTTTCTTGCTCTTAAACTATTTTTAAACAGGTTCTGTCAGGCTTGTTGCTGTTTAAACAAATATTTCTGTTTAAAAAAAATGTGCACCCCAAATGTAGCCAACACATACTTAGCATTCAGAATTTGTGTCTCTAGTTTTGTGCTAGAGCTACGTGGCTAAAGTAGAAGCTGCCCTACAGCGTCATAAACCACATAAACAAGACTATTTGAAGTCTTGACATGATTTGAAGAAAGTATTTGTTGATTTAGACATACGGTTTGCACAGTGCTAGTTGGCTGACTGTAAGCTTCCATTAATTATTAGCTACATTAGCTTCGTAGCTCCAGTACTAAACTAAAGAAGCAAACTCTAAATATCAGACGTCTTAGCTGGAGCAGTACGTTTGGAATAAGGAAATTCAGTGAATTAGATATTTTAACTGTTCCTATAAAGGATTTCTGTGCTCCTGTATATTTGAACTACCACAGTAGAAAGATGTGGTTCCTTTTTGGCATTGAGAGTCTTTTTTTGTCAGGACGCCAGTTTATGGTTCTGGTCTTACTGGCTAGAGCGAAATCCTCCTCCCACCCTTTGCTCCTCTGTCTGCGGTCAAAAGGGCGTGAGACTGGGCAGCCATTATCTGTGTGTGTGTCTGCCCTGAGGTGATGCCCTCGTCCATCTCCCAGCGCTGAGATTAACCAGACACGCAGACCCAGAGAGAGGGATGGGAGAAGGAGGAGAGGACAAAAGAGATGGATAGAGGAGGAGAGAGAACATGAGGTCAAGAGATAACACATGGAATGACCTCAAGAGATGTCACGAGAGGAAACTAGAGGAGTTTCTTTTTCCATTCTTCTGCTCTCTGAAACTCTTGTTCTCTCTCTCTCTCCCTCTCCCTGTCCTGCTCTCTCCTGTGGGCGAGTTGAGTGTTTAAGCAGTCCAACTGTGAGTTTTGCAAAACTGCTTACTCACACTTTAAAGACTTCACATAGTTTTTTGCGGCTTTACTTTGTTTTCTGATTGTTAAGCGCCTTTCACCCATAAATAGTTTCACCTCATCTTAGATTTTTCACCTGAAATCTTGTATTCTGCTTCCTTAGTTTAGTTATTGACTGATTTGTCAGAAGTGGCAGAAAATAATGCTGAAGTAAGGCAGTATTTAGACTGGTAGGGCTTAGAGCACATTTGGCCTTAAGACAAAACAAACCATTTTGTCTGTCTTCCCCTTCTTCTCTCTTCTTCTCTCTTTTTCTCTCTTTCTTTCTCTCTCTCTTGCGCACACACACATTCTGTGCCTCTTCTTTGTCTCTCTCCCTTCCTCTATTTCATTCTACTGCTTACACTCCTACAGTGTCTCTCCCTTCTTTTGTTCATTCTCTTTTGCTCTCTCTCTTTTTATCTATCTATCCTCTCTCTCCACCACTATCCCTCTTCCTCTCATTTTCTTGCCCCTCTCTCTATCAGCAGCACTCTCTTCTTCTGCTCTATCGCTTTCACTGTCTTTCTCCCCATTCTTCTCTTTTGCTCTATCCCCTTTTTCTTCTGCCTCCATCTCTCCCTACTCAGTTTCTCCTTTCTCTCTCCCGCAGCATCTCACTCTTGCGCTCTCCCTCTCTGTTTATCTGCAACTCTCTCTCCCTTCCTCTCTCCCAATACGTTTTCTTCTTTCCCTCCCTTTTTTGCTCCCTTCTTCTTATGCTTCCTCTCTCTCTCTCTCTCCTCTCTCTCTCTCTCTCTCTCTCTCTCTCTCTCTCTCTCTCTCTCTCTCTTCATTAAGTTGCTTGTGGAGTCTCAGGCTTTTCGATAACCCACAGTTCACCTCTTCTGTCCAGGCAGGATGTCAGAGGTTGACGCGTGTGTCCGCTAAACTCTTCCCCCTGGCTGCCCTGTAGTGAAAGAGACAGACGTGCGGCTGCCCGCACTGCTGCCTGTCAGAAAATATAAACCCTCCCCTGCTGGGCCCTCATTTACTGCACAATCCTAAAGGAAGCGTTCACTCACTGTGATGGGGAAAGCAGTTTTAGTGTGTACTGATAATTGGTAGTCTGCACATGTCCTGCGTCTCTTCTTTCTATAAGAAGTCTAGTTCTATAACTACACAGTCAGTTATGCGTGGCATTATATTTACATTCCATTTACATTTAGTATTAACATAAATAACTTGTCACCGTTTTTTTTCCCCGATGACAAAGATCTTGTCTTTGAGATATTAAATAAACTGTATCTTTATATCTCCAGCGTTTGCGGAGTTGCAGACCGATATCCATGAGCTGACTCAGGAATTAGACGGAGCTGGAATTCCCTTCCTGGATTACCGTACTTATGCCATGAGAGTGCTCTTCCCTGGCATTGAAGACCACCCTGTACTGAAGGAGATGGAGGTAATACATCATATTTACAGAGACAGATGTTTTTTCTCTTTCAAATGACTGAAATATAATTCCACATACTGCTATACTGATTACTACAAGTAGGCAGACAACAATCTTGCATACTTGCACACTAAAACCAAAATGCATCAGAAGCTGCATAATTGGTAGAGTGTATGTGTTGCCATTGGATTTCTATTCATATCTCTGGTGGAATCAGTTCTTGTGCTATATGGATCAATTTCTTATTATGCTGTTATTCTGAGTTGCAGTCCAGGCCCTCCCAAGAGACCTACACATATATTTCTGCTTAAAAGCTCTTTGAAATATTGCAATATTTTATTCCTCTCTCCAGTTAGGAGCCGCCGGAATAGGGCTGCTGCTCTGTGTGTATTTGTATGCTGTCTCATTTCCCCTGTGTATATGTGGCTCTAAGATGTTGTGTGCAAAGCAAAATGGAGAGGCTAAAATGGCTAGTCTCTTAAAGCCTCTGTCGGGATGGTTTTAGGGCTTTTAAAAAAGTTTTTTAGCACTAAATTGAATGCAAATCTACCCAACGCTGCTAACCTACTCAGTGTAAGCCCACGCAGCACAAAACTGGATGATATGGTGGCTCTAAGTCACTAAGTCTCAGAATACTATCAACTAAAATATGTGCTCAGACTGGAGGGTTGCACTGATTGTGTGGTGCGAAGTTTTGGCCTGACTGCTCTGTTGACAGACTGAATTTCTGAAACTTGGAACAGAAGGAATTGGCCAATTAGACAGTTAGTGCTTCCTTCTTTTGGTTGCTCATTGATTTGTTAGTAATCAATGAATAATGCAATTACTCAGTGTTTAGACAGGTAGGGCTGTATGTGAGAGAAGTGGCAGTTGTGCAACAGAGAGAGCTGGCTAATTAGCAACAGTGGGGTGCAAAATATTAGTCCTGTTTGGTTCAATTTAAATAATGGCATAATTCAAACAGAGTAAAGTAAAGCCTCTTTATTATGCTGACAAGTGTCCCAGTCTGTCTAGTCTGTGAAGCTGCAGAAGCCAAATGTTATGGCTTATTAACCACACTAACTCAGTCTATATCAATAAAACAAGTCCACTGTGAATTGCAGATCAAAAACAACTCTAAAGAATAATGACTATTCTGGAATCAACTGGATGAATCAAACAGGGTGTCACTTCCGCGAGCCAATCTGCCTTGAGAAACATGAAAAATTAAACAGCCCTCAAACCAAATCGATTCCCAAAGCGTCTGCATTGAAGCTTTAAACACTGAACTCGTGCTTCACCTCATGCTCTCGGTCACACGGCTCTCTGTCTCTCTCTGTCTCTCTTTTTTTCCTTGTCCCTCAGGTGCCGGCCAACGTAGAGAAGGCCCTGACGCTGTTCGGGCAGCTGCTGAACAAGAAACACTTCCTGCTGACGTTTATCCGCACTCTGGAGGCGCAGCGCTCCTTCTCCATGCGTGACCGTGGCAACGTGGCCTCCCTCATCATGAGCGCCCTGCAGGGGGAGATGGAGTACGCCACAGGAGTGCTCAAGCAGCTGCTCTCCGACCTCATAGACAAGAACCTGGAGAGCAAGAACCACCCCAAACTACTGCTCCGCAGGTATCTGTGGCCTTTATTTTGCAGTGTACCTGATGATATAGTGATTATTTAGACATAGAATTTACACAGTTTTTCTCCTACCTCAAATGAATTTCATCAGCCAGTGTTTGACGTCTGAAGTTTGCTTATTTTCTTTTGCCCTAGAGCTGTGAGGCTGATGTAGTTAACAAGTCATGGAAGCTTATATAATGTGTCGTAGTGTCACAAAGTACAGAAGGAAATCTTTTTGAGATTACTTAACACACACGCACTTCAAAGCAAATGTGTAATGATACAGTTTGCTTGATGCTAATAGGCAGGGTTTAACCTTCCAGGTAACAGTTTCTTCTACAGGCTCATAAGTTCTAGGCACTGACCAGGTAGGTGTGAGGTACCAAATAATGATGAAAGTGCATTTAAAACACTTCACATACCAGAGAGGGGGAAAAGGCAGTACAAAGACATGAGTACATACCTGTCTGTTACCTGAAATGAAACAGAATGTGGATTTTAAAAGAAAGCAATGATTCTTACTGTGGTTTTACTGGGTCCTTAATATTTACTTAGAGATTTTTCTGATGTACGTCCTGCTTAAACTAGTGACATTACAGTGAGATTTAGAGAGTGTTTGTTTGTTCTTACAACTTTGTTACTCCAAATAACTAAATTACTATGCTCTTTATCTACTTAGTGTCTAGAACCTGATGGGCATTTCAGTGTAATTTAGTCAGACTGTCTGGGTCTTTGACCCCATTTTCCCTCAAATAATTACGAGCACTTTGGAAATGCACACATTTACCTAGTTAATGTATAGAATCTCGTTGGTGTTTAAGGGTAGTTTATATTTAAACTTCCTCTGTAATTACCAACATATTACACAAAAATAATTACCTAGTACTTTAGAGTTTGTAACGCACACTTAGTGGGTTAATACCTAGAACTGAAGCTTTAACAAAGTGTTACCAGCTTCCATTACTAGCTTCATTAGCCTCATAGTTAGATAAATAAAATAAAATAAAATAAAAACTACAGAAGGAAACTTCAGACACCAAGCATGTCTTGACTGACTATATTTGGGGTAAAATTGTGTGACTTTTAGCTTAACCTTCTCTTTAAAACTAGTTGTTTGATTATGCTTTAATGTGAAGTAAAGCCTTAGGTGGTCCTTTGTCATCCCTCCTCTCCGTCTGCCACTGTTGATGCATGTATCTCTTCTTTTCCCTCTCCTCTCTCCATCCCTCTGCTTCTGTCTGAGAATATTACACACCTGAGCACACAAGTTCCCTGGAGAGAGTGAGAAGGGAGATAGAGAAAGGTAGAGAGAAAGAGTGAGAGGTGCACTGGGAGATATGGAGGCTTGGAGCAAGAATGTGGGGGAGGGAGGGAGTGAGAAAACTGTGATGGGGGGTATTCTTGGCATGGGTGGAGATGTAGAGATGCTGTTTTGAGAAGACGAAACATGGCAAATGAGAGCAGTGGTGTGAGAGTGAGACTGATATGAATATGACCATATATGAAATCAGCTGCTGTTCTTCATAGCTGTGGAGAACGGGTGTGGCCATAGTGTTCAAATGAACAACAGCATTTGAACAAACACGTGATACTGGAGTACATGTTAGGGGTGCATGATATACAGTTGTGTGCAGAAGTTTGTAAACCCTGGTGAAAATAAGTGAACACATTCTCTGCAAGGAATAAACTTAAATATGCCATGTTCTGCTAATTTTAGTGCACAATTTCTTTTATTTTAGCTTTTTTCCAGTATGTTGAATTTAGCAATCAAACAGTACTTATGCATTAAAATGTGCAGAAGTGTGTTCTTTGTAGAGGATGTCTTAACTTATTTTTGCTTCACCTTTTAAACTTGAGACCACCGGTGGTTCCAAAACACACTTCGTCATATTCTTCCTAACTTTCATATTTCATAAGCTACATTCAAAAGGTGGGGGTCGTATGAGAGCTGTAACTGTCTTCTTTCCAGTCAAATAGACGGGTAATGTAACTTTTAAACTTTATAATAAAAGAAGCTGAACTCTCAATTTTTTGTTGTCTACTGAAAGTCGATCCATTTTTCCTCAAATCTGGGCTATAAACTATAAACAGATGGCGTCTCTTCAGTGATCTGCTCTGTACAAATTATTTTTCTAAAAAAATACAAAGAGCATCTAAGATTTTTGGCTTTCACCAGTAAATTGTAAGCATATAGCAATATGTGTATGATCATAAAACACATGTTCTGTTAATTTGAGGGGAGCTTTTACAAAAAAACAAAAATAAATAAATAAAATAATATTTAAAATAAAATTTTCATTTTTCAGGCATTTACTGAATAATTTGCCTTAAGATTTGGTCATGTAAATTCAGATGGACAAACCAAAATATACCCACGTGCATAAGAGGTTAAAAAAATAAACGAAGCATGTAATTTGACCAGGGGCACTCAAACTTTTGCATACAATTACATCTGTGGTCGATATATTCACTGATAAATGGCTCGAAATTGGGATAATAATCCATAGTTACTACAAGAAATTAGTTCTCTATTAGTTTGCACACACACTGAAGCCCATCGAGTCACTAGTGGACAGCACAACCACCTCACACATGGGAGAACAGGGTTCGATTCTCCATCCTGGCAGGAAGACCACTGTTACATCGAGTCTACACAAAATAGAGATGGCACAATGCCACTTTTGGTCTATTTCAGGCTAGATTTGTTGCAGAATTGATCAGATTCGTTCTTTATTTCTACTAATATCTCAGTCAGTGTTATCTGCTAATATCATCCTGATACTAATACCAATTTGCAATTTCTACCACACATACAAACACACACACTGCTATACCAATGACAGAATGGTACACTGAGAGTCCTTGGCCTGGACTCCCTGTGGTAGATGCACCTACTGCTGTGAACCAGTGCAAATGGTAAATATTTACATAAAATGACAAAAGTTTACATTAATTGTAGTTTTTGACTTGTCACTTTTATCTGAAACTAATCAGTGATCCATCAGTGTTTTGCTTACTCCACTTCACATATTGATTATAGTGTGAACATATTTTAAATGCAAAAAAAAGGACAATTATTGTTTATTGGTGTCAGTATTATCAGTTGTCAAGTTATAATTATTGTCGACCCAGAACATCCATATCAGTGCATTCCTAATACATACTTCAAATCACCTGAAATCTATCACACCAGCACCATTAGTTCTGAGAAGTTCAGCTCCTTTGTTATCTACGCACTTCAAACCAGTACTGTGAGCATATGAAAGTGAGATCTTGAGAGAAGCTTCATTACTATGTCCACTTTCAGGCGATTGGCCTAAAGCTTGTTCTCTACAGTGTCTTGCCAGTGTCCTTTCACTTCTACCTTCCTCCAGAAGATCTTCAAAAAAATAGGGCAAAGTTGAGACAAACTCCAGCAAGCGCTGTCCCTCGTTTCCTAGATGAAGCGCTTCTCTTGTAGGCTGTTCTCTCAGTCTCTTTCTTTTTCCCTGGCTCGTGCTCTTCCCTCGCTCATTTAAAGATAGCGCTGCCTCATTTTTCTCTCTCTCCACCACTCCTCTCTTCGTTTCATCTGTCTGTGGGTGAGCGAGTGAATAATTAAATGGAGAGAAGGAGAAAACAAACAGTTTTCCCCCCACACTCTTCTTCCACTCCTCCTCTCCCCCTTCGTTAGCAGATTAGCGCTAATAACGTCCGCTAATTACCCTGCCTGTTAATTAGCTTCATTCCGAGGGACTTTTGCGAGGGTTATTTTATGCAGCAGGTTTCTGCTCAGCTAGAGAACTTACTGAATTCGTCTAATTGATGCGTTTCTTAATGAAGATTGGTGGCTTGCTTTGGAGAGAGCAGAAAAGGGAGGAATCGGTTCCGTAATATTGCTGATTCATTTGCGTGAGTGCTGCATTTGGGTACATTTGGGTTAGCTAACGCTGGTGGCGCCGCTGGGCTTCAGCACAGCGCTGTGAGAGAGGAGTTAAACTCTTAAATCTTTAGGCGCTGCTACTCAGAATGACTGTCAACATGAGCTATAGTTAACAAATGCATCACATTTGAATATGTATTGTAAATCGCCAGAAATCTGTAAAGCCAGTGGTTCTAGACTTCCTTTGGGAAAGTTCTGTCCCCAAAAAAATGTAAAGCTATGAAATTTACACTTTTTTCTCATCCCAGCGTTGTCCTGCTGCCCATCGGTCTGATAAAACCCACTGCACAGAAGTGCATGGACATGCGGGTACCCAGCCAAATGAACATAAAATGACAAACTTGATATAAAATGGCTACGAATGGTACTGTAGATATCAGACGTTGCGTGTCTCTGAGGCCGAGACTACAAGGCAGCTCAGTCAGAGCTTGGTGAAGGATGTGTCTTCCAAGGGTGTAAAAGAATTGATCAATACAATTGTCATCATATCTTCATCAGTATAATGTTAAATTTGCATTTGAGACCTAAACATCAGGCTGGACCTTCTTTTTGAGTCTGTGCATGTGATGTTAATACATAAAGACATATGACATGGTCCAAAACATACTGTGATATCCGACTTAACGCCTCTGACTTTTAAATGATTATTTTAGGCTTTACAGGGTGACTCACAGCGGCATGCGACACGCCATATTTTAGTGGTCCTCTTGATTCTGTAACATTTTCAGTTTTAACAAAAAAATGTATATAGTACTGCTTTAAAATACTGTACGCTTACTGCAATACAGCACATCATAAATATCTAGAAATAATAAAATTATTGGGTATTAGTATCGATTTTGACAAAAATAAGGTGTCAGTTATCGGCTGTCACATTGAACCAGAACGTCCGTATCAATGCATCACTAATACATACTGAAATATGATTAAGATTTTGAGAGATTATTTTGAAATGTGGTAAATGGTAACAATAAGATGATTTATCCAGAGTTATAATATACAGTTTCTACTTCAGAAGAAGCTAAAGCATTTCCACTCAGACTTTTGTGAAATTTGGCCGCAGTCAAATTACATCTTTTGTTAATTTTCTAAGGGAAAATAAGTTTGTCTTCTACAGAGAACACATTTTAATGCACAGTTACTTGCTTATTTGCTGAATTAAACATTTTGGGGGAAAAATAATGAAATGGCTTGTGCAAAAATAATGGCAATAAAAAAAACTGTGTACTAAAATGTGCACTTTGTTCTCTGTAGAGGATGTGCTAACTTATTTTCAGTTACATAATCAACAGAACATGTAACTTGAACAGGGATGTTCAGACTTTTGCATACGACCATGTTCTTATGACTGCCTGCTCCACCTCCACCTCCCTCAAGCACATTTGGAAGAAAAAAAGGGGCCAAGAGTTGAACGCACCATACTCCGTCATTCCTCGACAAGGCGCTTCCCTTGTAGGTCGTTCTGTCTTTTGCTCTCCTTGGCTCACTTTCTCTGGAGCTTCATATGTGTCACTTGACCTGAAGGGTTGTACCACTTTTTTGCACGGTGTGGGTCTGAATGTGTGACATTACTCTTCTTCTCCTCTGTAGGACGGAGTCTGTGGCTGAGAAAATGCTGACAAACTGGTTCACCTTCCTGCTCTACAAGTTCCTGAAGGTGAGTGTGTGTGCTCCTATGTGTGAGTGTGCCTGGATGTCGGTGTGTGTGTTTGTTCCCGGCTGTGTGTGCACTTTCAGTGTGAACGTGTGCCTGTGAACACAACAGCTTGAGGTCCCTGGTGTTTGGGTATCCTCTGCTGACCTTGGGTGCTGTGCAAAGGCTTATGGGAGATTGAGTTCAGTAACAGTGCGCAGCCTACCATATGTCCCTGGCAGCATCACTTTCTCAGTCTCTCAACCATCAGCCCTCACACGCGCTCTCAGCCAGCACTCTATATATAGCCTTCTTAATGTCTCTGACTCTGGACCAAGGCAAAAATGTGTGTTTCTTGAAGTAAACTACCAGCCAGATGGTTATAGGAATCAAAAGAAGTGACTACTCGAGAGACGCTGAAACACATGGATATGTGTTTGTGCTGGAGATGCATTCTACTGAACATGCTTCGCTCTGATGTTGGGATTTCTTTCGAGCAGCATGTTAGAGTTTGAGACGTAGTTTCTGTGCCTACACCATGAAACAGTAATGCGCGGTAGCACAGGAGTATGACTAAGCATTTCGGACGAGCGGCCGCTATACAGTCCTGCGGTTTGTTTAAAAACTATGCACAGAGATATCTGATCAGAAAGTGAGCAGCCTGACCCAGACAGTGTGTCTGGCTATCAGAGAATGTTTGTGTCTGTCTCCTGTCTGTTGGTGCTCGTTAACAGCTGTCTGTTTAATTAGCCCCAATGCTAACGAGCCTAACGAGGCAGGGACATATGGTGGGGGTTGGTGGTTGGTTGGGGTGGCTGGGGGGGGGAGGGTGGCCCAGAGGGGTACGGATGCCAGCAAGGGCCACTAGAGGCAGAATGTGTCTGGGGACATGGGCGCTCTTTCTGTAGTATATTAATAGGAATAACTTACTGGGATCAGAATAATCACAAAAAAACAGTACTTGAGGACTGATTGGTTATTAGCCTTAATTGAGTCAATTGTTGTTGATTAATTGTGGATAATTTGGCCACCAATGTGCACAGTGTGGGTCTTTTTTTCTTAAGGCTAGGTGTTTTGTGCTCTGGTGAGTGAGTTAGTTGTTTGTCTACAGTGAGAAATGAGTTTAGAAGAGGGAGGGTGAAAGAATTAAGGTGAAAAAAGACAAAGAAGAGACATAATTAAGTTATATTTAATTAATATAGATCATTTGGCTGCCAGTACATCTCTCTTAACCCTTATGTGGAGGTTCTCCAAGTGGTTCAGGGGTTTCCCTCAACTTGGCTTGAGAAAATGCGAGAATGAAGGTGAAATGAACTCGAAAAGCTAGAAATAAAGACAAATTGTTGTTAAATTGTTAATTCAGTGGATAGTTTGGCTGCCAATATGCACTCTGTGAAATGTGATGATTTTTCTCTACCGTGAGAAACAGCATTGCCAGTGAAGGAAAATAAAGCTGAGAAGGACACGAGAAGACAGAATTAAGACAAATTATCGTTAAGTAATTGGATAATTTTGCTGCCAATACGCACACTGTCAAGTGTGGCTCTACCCCCTTATGGCCAAATGCTCTCTCAGTGGTTGAGTAGTTTCTCTCTACAGAGAAAAACAGCTTTGCGCGAGAGAAAATGAGCAAACGAAGGTGAAAAGGACATGAAAGGACGGAGGTAAAGTGGGGAAATGTGGGAGAGCGAGGGAGAAGTTGTGGAAGATGAGGAAGGAGGGTTGTGCGTGGGAAGGAACGAGGAAAGTGAGGGAGAGGTGGTGCCAGCGTTCGTCTCATTGCCTGTTTGACACATTTCATGCTCTGAAGTGCTTCTCCGGCACTTTCCTCCACAGTCATTAGCCTTCTATTAACCCCTCCATCAGTCGCCCCCCCCCACCCCCCGCCTCCTTGACGCGCACTCAGCGGCTCGGCTGCTTTTGTGAATAAAACAACCCAACACTCCGGGGAGCAGCGGCGGCTTACGCTGCTTCCGTGCTGTTTTTGTTTTCCCTGACTACAGGAATAACTCACAAGTCCTAGAGGACTCTTCCGACAGACGTATCTTGCGCCTTTATCTCGAACCTGGGATAAACCACTTGCCCTCAGTTTGGCGCAGAGGAAATGGGCCACTTCAGAACGAGTGTTTTGGCAGAAATCGTTAATGCTTTGCAGAACAAAAAGACAGAGCCTGGAGAACATTACCCGTCAGTGAGACTCTCTCTCTCTCCCTCTCTCCAGTGGGCTGTGAAGGAAGAGTAGAAACACTGAAGCAGCAAAAATCGCTCTCACCTTCCCCCACCTGCACTGTGTGTATATGTGTGTGTGTTGCGGACTGATTGGAGTTTAATACACCTCCTGCTCTTATGATGGGAAAACAGTTTAAGCGCTGAGAGGCTGTGATGGCCCTCAGCTCAGCTCCAGCGCCATTGAGACCGGTGCTTAAGCAGAGAGAGAGAGAGCGAGAGAGGTATGAATGCTTCAGATCTGAATGGAAAATAAACTGTGCGACAGTATGAAACACACCTCAGAAACATCAGAGATATGCCCTCCCGAACACTCGCCCTGTGATCTCATTTCCCTTGGTAATTTTCCCTCTTGTGTGGTTTGTGTATTAGTGTTGCACAGTGTGTGGAACGTTCAGTGTTTTTAACAGCACCATAATTTACGTGGTAAACAATACAGTAAAAAGAATTTTATTTCAAGGCTTCAATAAATTTCATAACACATAAATAAGCTTTTAGCTTATTTATCAAGCAGTACTTAAGTATTTTTGAACTGTTTACACCTGTAATCACAAGGCCTCTGCTTGGCTTTACTTGGCAATGATGCTTCATAATAGAGTTTTAAACAGAACAAATGTCCATCGCTTTAGTTGGCCCATTATGTCAATGTGCTTTACTTTATAGAACATCCTATGGCTTCCTGCGAGTTGTAAACTGTATAAAAATACTCAAATGTTGTGTTACAAATGTTGGTCAATGCATATGCATGTGTTACAAGTCTCTGTTAGTAAACCAAAACAATATTTTAACAACAGTTCAATACTTTTGAAAACTTAAATTCAGTTTTAATGGGCTGTTAATGTATCTGTACAATGTATTTTTCTATTGGCAAATTAACTTGCACTTGTTAATTTGACACAGACAAGCAGAAGCACCTACATTACCACATCACTGTTGTCAGAAGAAAACCTCGTATCCCCAAAATGATAACTTTACAGGAAAAGGAAAAAACCTACTTAACTTTTAATGTAAGTCAGTGGAACCAGACTTTTTTCTAAGTCACAATGTAAAGAACCACAGGCATTTTCAAATTATGTCAAAAATTGAAAAACAACAAAAATGGAGATAGGAGGTTTTTTTCCGACAGTAGCGATATCTGAAATATAACAGTGAAGAATGTACTTAGTACACTGACTTGGAATCACAGTTTTCAATATTATAAAACCAGTTTGTTGAAGACACGTATAAAATGATTCTGTTGATGCCACAGCTATACAGCTTTGTAGTTTTCAAGTAATCTGTAGTAACCTGTAAAAATGAAGAAAATTTAGATGTGTCCAGAGTGATGGTGAATTGTAGATGATTCTGCAATGACTGAGAGAGCTGTATTGTATATAACATTGAGAATTAAGCCTGGATTGTAAATAAAATTAACACCCAGATGGCCTGCATTGTACAAGTTATTATTGAATAAAATAACAGTTTTAATTCATTTGAAAATACCAGCTGCTGTTTATGCTGTTTTGAATGTTTCATTATGACGGGACCAGTAGAAATGATCCAGAATTATTTTGAATAAGATCTTGTTCCATTAACTTGCACTAAAAGGAAAAAAAGGCTGTTTTTCTTTCTCCTGAAAAGTAGCCATTTTGGTAATAAAAGATTTTGTCCCAACAATGACGATTTTAAGATTTTTGTGTTGATAAATAAGAGGTTGAATTTGAAAAAAGAAAATGTTAATTAAACTGTACCAACCTGAATATTTAACTGTGTTCACACCAGTAAACACCGAGTGTTCAGACAATGAGAAGTGCTTTTAATTTTGTGCTTTAGGGACATTCTGGTATGGAGCCTTGTGATTCTACACTTGGTATCGGAAGTCAAAATGCTGTAATCGTGGCGGTGCTGTTGTGTGTTTGTGTACAGGAGTGTGCAGGGGAGCCTCTGTTTATGCTCTACTGTGCGATGAAGCAGCAGATGGAGAAGGGCCCGATAGATGCCATCACAGGAGAGGCGCGCTACTCTCTGAGCGAAGACAAACTCATCAGACAGCAGATCGACTATAAAACTCTGGTCAGTAGCTTCACAGTGTGAGCCTGGAGCACCATCTTCAAACACAGCAAGAGCCACAACTTTAACTATTCTCGCATAACTGCCACTCCACTGTGACCTTTGATTTACAGCTACGCTATTGCTTCACAGTTACTGCAGCAAGACAGAGTATGGCTGCATGTTATGGACAGAATACTAGTTTTGCAGTTATGTTACTATATATGGCCTGCATTATATTCAAAATTCATTGGCCAACCAATAATGTTACATGGTATACTATATATATGTATGTATATACACACACACACACACACACATATACATATATACACACACACACACACACATATATATATATATGTGTGTATGTGTGTATGATTGGTTAAGAGGCTCATTTGCATATTGCTGAATATTTGAGTATTGTAAAGTTCAGTGCAATAATGATTAACAAACAATATATTGTGCAGGCAGCCTTAAGATGTAGCATACATTAGGACTGCGCAGTAATTCTAACCATACTGACTGATCTCAAACTTTGCAGAATTTTTTTGCGTGTTTTGATAAATTAAGGTATTAATGTTAAAACATTAGGGATATTTTTCCACACCTCCAAAGTTCAGTCTTAGAAGTTGGTTGCATTTTCTGCTTTGCACAAGCCAAATAATTCCTAATACATTTAATGATGTTGAGCTCTGGACTCTGGGGTGAACAGTTCATCGCTCTGAGAACACCATTAGCTTCTGTTATTTAAAGATTTTCTTCTTTTTGTATATTTCCTCTTCCTCTATAAGGGCTTCTTGACGGCCACACATCTTTTCAGACTTATGGCGTTGAGATGTTTTCTCACAGTGAAAGGATGAACAAAAAGACGTGCATTTTTTTCAGATCCAGATTATATTATATTATATTTCAGATTTCAGATTATAGTACTTCTGATCTCCTCAGAAATATCTCCTGAAAAATGAACTACTTGTACTTAATGGCCACTTCAACTAGAAATGAAATAAACGACGAGTGGTCTCTGACTTTTGCATCTTACCGTAAATAACATTAAACCATGTTACATTAAATGTTCACCAGTTTATACTATATCACAAAGTATATGGCTATTGCAGTATGTAGCAATGTAACTGCACCATCCTTTGTGCATACCATGCAGCCCTAATTATCATTACTCTAATTATAAGATTTATGTTGCTTGTTGCCAGATAGCAGTAGTTATGCAGTGTTTTGTCTTATTAGAGCTGATGGACATTTAAATGTGATTAATGAGAATGTTATTTCCTAAGTGGGAATCAAAGAGCCTTTGTCAGATGCACAGCGGTTCAGTCTAAAGTCTGATATCCGTGTCATTGTTGGCTGTTAATTAGAGCTCTGATTTTGATCACTGTGCTCTGTGTGCAGACGCTGCACTGCGTGAACCCGGAGAACGAGAATGCGCCAGAGGTGACGGTCAAATGCCTGAACTGTGACACCATCACTCAGGTGAAGGAGAAGCTGCTTGACGCTGTGTACAAGGGCAGCCCTTACTCTCAGAGGCCAAAGGCTGGAGACATGGATCTGGGTAAGAGAGTGAGAGAGAAGGGCAGAGAGCTCTCACTCCAGAGCCATTTAAAGATATAAGCATGAAAAATAGAGCCCAGGATCAATAGTGTAATAGAACAGGGAACTACCTTGTGCCTGACCTGTAGGAAAGTAAATGGCTGTTAGCTACTATGACATGCTTTGAACTCTGCCCGTGTCTGTGCAGAATGGCGGCAGGGCAGAATGGCCAGAATCATCCTTCAGGATGAGGACGTCACCACCAAGATTGACAATGACTGGAAACGGCTCAACACTCTCGCGCACTACCAGGTAAACCACGTTAGCATTTGTATACAATAGCGACGTCTTCACACCCACGTACGGAGCCGCGGCCAACCGTAGCCAAGGCCCGAAAAAACCCTCCCACACGACCAGGTTACCATAGCAACACCTCAACACCCTAGCACACTGCCAGGTAACCATAGCAACACCTCAACATGTAACCATAGCAACAACCACAGCTTTTACCCTGCAGCAAGACGCTTTAGCAATGCCTGATAAGTCTTTGCGGAAATGTTCAAGTAGGTGCTGTTAGTTTCCGATTTGCTTTCATTCTCTCTCTCTCTCTCTCTCTCTCTCTCCCTCTCTCTCTCTCTCTCTCTCCCTCTCTCCCCCTCCCTCTCTCTCTCTCTCTCTCTCTCCCCCTCCCTCTCCCTCTCTCTCTCTCTCTAGGTGACGGATGGCTCAGTGATCGCTCTGGTCCCCAAGCAAAACTCTGCCTACAACATCTCCAATTCCTCCACTTTTACCAAGTCCCTCAGCAGATACGGTACAAGCTCTTGATTTCACTCATGTTACAGCTCTTTCTCTCTTCATCTCTCGCTTTCTCTTTCTTATTTACTCTCTCCTTTGCTTACTTTTTCACTGTCTTTCTCACTTTCTTTTCCTCACTACTCTCTCATCCTTTCTGTCTTTCACTCTGTCTATCACTTCTCAATTTTCTTTTTCTCTCTTCCCTCTTTCTTTCTTGTTGTCTCACCTTTTTTCTCTCATTTTCTCACTCGCTTTCTCTATCCTTATATCCCTCCCTCCCTCTCTCCCTCTTTCTCTCCCTCCCTCTCTCCTTCCCTTCCTCCCTCTCTCTCTTTCTATCTTTCTCTCTCTTTCTTTCTTTCTCTCTTTCTTTCTCTCCTCCCTCCCTCCCTCCCTTTCTCCCTCCCTCCCTTTCTCCCTCCCTTCCTCCCTCCCTCTCTTTCCCTCCTTCCCTTCCTCCCTCTCTCTCCCTCCCTTCTCTCTTTCTATCTCTTTCTCTCTCCCTCCCTCCCTGCTCTCTGAGCTCTGTCTTGCCAGCTGTGTGATTTGATTGGGTGGTGGAGCAGCTCATGATGTCAAACTGTCGATGACAGACATTAAATCCAGGAACATTCTGATAAAGTGAGAATATGAAAGAATTGCATGTCATATTAGTGACAGAAAGGAGTGTAGCTTTTCTGTACAAGGTGAAATCTCTGCTTCAATGAAATAAGCTGTGTCACATTTGAACAGCTCTCTTTCTCCTTCTTTTTAAGGCGTTGCCGCAGACGTAGTGACAGTTTACCTAGTTTATCCCTGAATATTCTTTTGTCTTGTTTCTTTTCTCTCCCTCTCTCTCCTCCCTCCACTCTCACAGAGAGTATGTTGAGGACAGCCAGTAGTCCTGACAGTCTTCGTTCTCGGACACCCATGATCACTCCGGACTTGGAGAGTGGAACAAAGCTGTGGCATCTGGTCAAGAACCATGACCATTCAGACCAGAGAGAGGGAGACCGTGGCAGCAAGATGGTCTCAGAGATCTACCTGACACGCTTGCTTGCTACCAAGGTAGATAAGACACAACTGCACACACACATACGCACACGCACACACACACACAACCCTTAAGAAGTTTGGAATAACTGTACAAAAGCTTAGAATTACTGTACAAAAGTTCAGTATAGTTTGAATTCACCATTGAATACAATATAATCTGACCTAACATAAAACCAGTTTTATTGCAGATACATATTTTAAAATGATTGTAATATGATGCTAGTACTCTGCTTCTTTCAAATAATTTATATGAAGCTGTAAAAATGTATTTTGCATGTATCTGGAATGATGAACGGGGCTGTAGTTGTTTATGTAATAACTGAGAAAGTTATATAACCTCAGTAATAAACTAAACTTAGCGTTCAGAATCCAGAATTTCAAATCTTGAGGCAGACAACATGACAATATATAATTATATATCATTTATTAACCTCATATTATCAGGTTTAATAGGCCTTAAGAACCTTATTTAGTCTTATTCAGGTAACCTTGTTTTCATTTTATAATCATTTAATTAGCATTTCTATCTACACAGTATAAGTTATTTACCCTCTGATGCAAAGGTATGACTATTTCTGCCCTTTAATCTGCTTTTCTTCATTAATAACATGATTTCTCAGTGGTGGTGTTGCATTTATTTGAAATGTAACAAACATGATCCAACAAAGCTAAAAATGTTTTGGTATTTGTTAGGTTTGTGTCACAAACTCCCTTTTTGCACAAGAAAGCACATGAATATGAATAAATCACACATCACTGTGTTTTAATTAGGCAAATCCATCATAAGCGCTTACTCAGCTGAAGCACACTCTGAATAAGCTTGCTTGCACACTCACATATGCATCTTTTACGTAGTGATAGAAACACAAAAGCTCAAATTCTCCTCACAGATACATTTCACTCTGTCTACTAAAATGTGGATGCAACTCCTCTGGTGGCAGAGTTCGGGTGTCGTCACCAAATTCTCAGATTGAATGCTTGACCTAAAAGGGTTACTAAAACAACAGTTATCACAAGTGATTCCAGACTTTTGAATGTTATTGTACATGCGTGCTGGTGTGTCTGTCTTAACCCTATATTTTCTGCGTGATTTGTGTAGCTGATCTCCATGGCCAGTTCGTGTTGACCTTTGTGTGTGAAAGGCTAGTCCGTGATTAACATTTAGCAGCAGGTCTGGTCTGACACGCACCACTGTATCTTAATTAGACTGGTGACCTTTGCTTATCGAGCTGTTTGGGAAAAGCCAGGTCTCTTTTTATCTCATCTGTACTCGTTTCTCCTGACACTATAGAGTTCTCTTATTGAGATGTCTCAGCTTTAACTGCTTATAAGCCACATTTCCCATAATCCTCCTGGGGCCCTTGGGGCCACTGTATAACAGATAACTGTATACGCAGCTTCTTACAACATAGGTCATGTGTTTTTTATACCACTGATAGTTCAATAAAGGTCTTGGTGGTGATCAATAAAGCTGTAGATGCTGGAATTAGATAGCTTAGCTGTTCCTATAGCAGCCACTTCCTCCCTCGTTTTCATGCTTGTTTAGTTTGTTTTATTGTGTAATATAAAACCTGTGATTTGGTCACATTTATTACAGTTATTTTATTTTTAGTTAAATTGATTTGTGTTTAATGCAGTTGAATTGTCTCTCTCTGTCTCACAGGGCACGCTGCAGAAGTTTGTAGACGACCTGTTTGAGACCATCTTCAGCACGGCCCATAGAGGCAGCGCGCTCCCCCTCGCCATCAAATACATGTTTGACTTCCTGGATGAGCAGGCCGACAAACACCAGATTACAGACCCAGATGTCCGACACACATGGAAGAGCAACTGGTTAGTGTGGGGGTGAGGGGGTGGGGGGTGCCTGGTGTTAGTGAGTGTCTAATGTATTTTTTATTTTTTTTTTGTATTTGCTAAAATAGAGAGTTAGTAACCGTTAGCTGTCGAGTACAGTGAGTCACTGCTTAGCAACTGGCGCTCAGTGGAATGATCATTATGTTAAAAAGAAAAAAAAAACAGTAGATCGTGCCTCAACCAATCAGATTGTGTTGTCGAAACTAACGGCTGTATAAAGCTTTCTCAGTCAGTTGAATTTTTTGTGGCTCCCTTCATCATTCTTGACTCTATCTGATCTAATGTATTTATTTCTGTTTATAGCTTCCTACTGTTATACCAGTAATTGTAAACCAGTGAAATTGCACAGAATCATGTTATATATTTGTTTGGTTTTAATAATTGGTTTTATATGAAAAAGTGATTCCATCACTGTTGACAGCTCATCAACTTTGTCAACTAATCAGTGCAGCACTGTGATATAAAAGTACATAACTGTATACAACAGCAGTGAGTTAACTTTGTTGAACTTCTGCTTCTTTTCATGTTCTCATTCTCTCTCTCTCTCTCATTCTCTCTCTCTCTCTCTCATTCTCTCTCTCTCTCTCTCTCTCTCTCTCTCTCTCTCTCCAGTTTGCCGCTAAGGTTCTGGGTGAATGTGATAAAGAATCCTCAATTTGTTTTCGACATCCATAAGAACAGTATTACAGACGCATGTCTGTCTGTAGTCGCTCAGACCTTCATGGACTCGTGTTCTACGTCAGAACATAAGCTAGGCAAAGACTCGCCCTCCAACAAACTGCTCTACGCTAAAGACATTCCCAACTACAAGAACTGGGTAGAGAGGTAGGCCACCATTCAACCTCCACCTGTAATATTTTTCTCATGGGGGGGGTTTCACCAGTAGATGCCTGGGCAGTGTTTGATATTTTAGCTGGGCCAACATGCTCTCTCTCTCTCTCTCTCTCTCTCTCTCTCTCTCTCTCTCTCTCTCTCTCTCTCTCTCTCTCTCTCTCTCTCTCTCTCTCTCTCTCTCTCTCTCTCTCTCTCTCTCTCTCACAGGTATTATTCTGATATCTCTCGGATGCCTGCGATCAGTGATCAGGATATGAGTGCGTACTTGGCGGAGCAATCCCGCCTGCACTTAAACCAGTTCAACAGCATGAGTGCCCTGCACGAGATCTACTCCTATATCACCAAGTACAAAGATGAAGTAAGCACGGGCGCACACAGACACTGATATACACTCGTCACACTGAGATGTCTTACCTTCCCACAGCAGGGCTGGATATTATTCTGCAAACATATTGTTATTGCCAAATGGAATCAATACAGCACGCTGGTTTCCATGCTGTTATAGTCTTCCGTGGGCTATGAAGTTGCTAATAGGAAGGAAATTTGTGTATAATATTCTGACTTCGGATTTGTAAAAATGTAAACAGAACGTGTTGTATATTTCTCAACTAGCAAAATAGGCGATCTCACAGAAGCGCAGTGCATAGCTGAATCGTGAGGGTGTTTTATGTTGTTGTCCTGCAGTGAGTTATTGTTTTTCGGCCGTATCGTCCAAAGCTATTTCACCATCTCCCCTCACTGAACCTCCTGCCAAATGACCTTCAGTCCTACAGCTCTGTTATTGTAACCCTTTGTGTGTGCGCGCTTGTGTGTGTGTGCTGTGGTTTTGTGTTTTTCTGGGTAATGTATTGCAGCTGGCTCCATTAGCACCGCTCCTCATCATATGTCATTATCTTGTGAAAGCACATGCGTGCACACACACACACACACACACACACACACACACACACCATCATATTTGTGCTTTATTAGAAATGTGAACACAGATCAAAAGCAGTGGAAGCTAACAGACATTACTGGATGGATAGATAGTTAGCAGCAGCAAGATAATGTACCTTTTGATTTCACTGAAAGTCTGTCTTTTTTTCTCTCTCTCTTTGTCTCTCCCTCTCTCTCTCTCTCTCTCTTTTCTCTCTCATCCTTTCTTTCTACTTCTATTGCTTTTTATTTTCTTTTGCACATGCTTTCTTTCTCTCTCTTGCTGTTTCTTTTTTTTCATGCTCTCTCTTTCTCTTTTTCACTCTCTCTTTCTCACTATCTATCTGTCTTGCTGACCCGATCTCTTTCTGTTTCTCTCACGTTCTTTCTCCTTCTGCTCACACTGTTTCTCTCGTTCTTTCATTCTTTCTTTCTTTCTGCCTCTTTCTCTTTGTTCTCTTTGCACATGCTTTTTCTCTCCCTCTCTTCTTCTTTCTTTCTCTTTTGCTTCTCTCTTTCCTTCTCTTTCCCACTCTTTCTTTCTCACTTTTTTGTCTTTCTATCTTTCTCCCCTTCTCCCTCCCTCTTTTTCTCTCTCTCATTATTTCTTTCTTTCTGCTTCTTTTGCTTTTTATTTTCTTTTGCACATGCTTTCTTTCTCTTTTTCTGGTTCTCTCATTCTTTCTTTTTTTCACTCTTTCTCTCTATCTTAACTGATCTTTTTTCTGTCAATCCTTCTCTTGTTCTTTCTTTGTTTCTGCCTCTATTTTTTCCTTGCACACAACTTTCTTTCTCTCCCTCTTTTCCTCTCTCTTTTTTCATGTGTATCTCTTACTCGTTCTTTCTCTTTCACTCTTTCTTTCTCACTCTTTTGTTTGTCTTTCTCTCTTATTCTCCCTCCCTCTCTCTCTCTCTCTCTCTCTCTCTCTCTCTCTCTCTCTCTCTCTCTCTCTCTGTAGATCCTCTCTGCTCTGGAGCGTGATGAGCAGGCCCGCAGGCAGAGGTTGAGGAGTAAGCTGGAGCAGGTGATTGACACCATGGCTCTGAGCAGCTGATCGGGGGTCTGAGCACTCGAAACAAACACGGACTGACGACACACACTCCCCGGGTCTCAAACCCACCGAGCTACACACTGCAGAGAAGTGAGGCAGTACACTGGAGCTTCTACAGAGCGGGGCACACACTCTTTGTCTGTGTGTGTGTCTGTGTGAGTGTGTGTGTGGATGAGCCACCGAGGACACATCACAGGAGACGTTTTGACTGTTGTTGTGGTGCAGTTTTTCTTTTTTTTCTGTCGTGTTTTTGTTGGAGTGTAGGCGTGTACTGGTGTGTGTTGGACCTCTACACACGCAGAGACACACACACATACACACACGCACACACACACACCGAGTTTGAGGACTCAAGAAGGAGGAATTCTGGGATGCCTTCGCTCCAGCCGTGTGATTGGTCATGTGATTGGTCATGTGATTGGTCATGTGATAGCTGTTGTCACGACACGCCCCTGGAATGACTAAGGACATTCGGATTTGTTTTCTTTCTGTGTTGATTTGTCGTTTATTGTTATTTTTTTTATTTTGTACAAACGTAATGGACTGCCCTCTCTCTGCTCTCTTTTGCCACTCGTGTTACTGCTGAATTTGCACAGTTTACAGGAACCAGTACAAAGGACAAATCTTCAGATATTATATATATAAATCTATAAATATATAAATACTGTTACATTTTCAGCCAAGCAAAATTAACCATTGAGATTTTTCTTTGCCATGTTATCACCAGAACACAATAGAGTCAAAAATGAATTAGATCTTTAAGCAGAAGAAAAAAAAATCTACATAGGAAGGAGAAAAAAAAAAAGAAAATATGAATAAAATGTTGTCCTGTGCCATGTTTTATTTGAATGTCGTTTAGTGAAAAGGCATTTTGTTACATGGGAATGTGCTATGGTTTTTGTTTTTTAATATGACCTTGCCTGATGACTGAGAAAATATGAAAATATGTTTGGCGTAGCTTAAGTAGAACAGGTGAGTTTAGAATTATCCGGAGTTCAGAAGGCAAAGAGTTTGAGATTTTTGCTCTCAGGGCTCATTCGGCGGTCTCTTTATGAACCGAACACGGTCGTCTCCCTCCGTGTGTGATGCTGCCTCTCTCCCTCGTGGGTTTTGCTTCCTCTTTGCGCAAACGCATCTGGAGAAAGAGGAGTAGATTTACCGCAATCCCTTTTTTTCTTAGTCTCTTAAGGGAAGGAGAGCGAGGTTTGAAGCTTCTAATTCATTACTGCTTCAAACTCGGATCAGAGAGAGAGCGAGCGAGCGAGCGAGGGGAGGACGAAGAGGAGGATAGAGACTGAGAGAAAGAGGGGCTTTAGCCTTAGCTCATTAAAGAGACAGGGCTAAGTAATCCTGTTACCCTCTGGCCTTCCGCCTCCAGTGTGTGCGTGTTTGATTCAGCCTGCTTTTTTATAAATGATCTCGTATGAGAGACGTTCTGTGATGAGAGGCTATCTTTAAAGGATTTTTTTTCCTTTTTTTAAACTCTTGCTTTAATTTGCTTGCCTAAAGAAACCAAACTGTGATCTGTGGTGGATTTGATTTGGTGTTTCAGTTTTTTTTGTAATGCAACATCTGAAAGTGGTTTACCATTGTACCTGAACGAGTTGTGTTTCTTGGTCATCATTCTCTCCATATGGGCGGTACTGTCTGAGGTACGAAAAAAAACAAAAAACAAAGAAAAAAGAAGTCCTATTTTTTACCTGGATCCAAATTTTACACCTCACCTCCTGCGAGTGTGCCTGCACCCCCTGAAAGAGACCCCCACGGCGAGTGGGGTTCCGTCGGCTTTTCTGGTGGAATGTTTGTCATGGGACAGTGAAATTGCTGCTTTATCGCTTAGAATCTCCCCCATATGCTTAGATATTGTTTTTGTTTGTTTATTTTCTTTGTTTTTTCCAAATGGTGAACTAAGGTTCCTCTAGAGCTCATATGTTTTTAAAAAAAAAAGCTATTTTTTGGACCAAATCATTAAAATGCAGGTTCAAACAGGGTCACTTCCTGCCTAAAGCCCATCAAGCCCAGACCCTGTGTGAGTGAGCTGTCAGCAGTAGTTAGCCAGCAAACGTCCACTAGTTCTGACACATTCATCCATATTTAACCAAGGTGAACGTGTGGGGAGAGAGGGAGAGGGAGAGAGAGAGGGAGGGAGAGTGAGTGAGTTAAAGAAAACCGCTTACCTCACGAATGTGGCCGCACACTAGGCTGCGTCTGTGTGGTTTGGATAGGCTATCTTCGCCCTACCGTTGGATCTGGCCTAATGGAAATAGATGAGCTATGTGCAAGGAGGCTTGAAGCAGTTTCCGCTAACCGCCGGCTGATGAGCTATCAGACTTATGTAATCAAATGAATTTTACATTAGTCTACGCAGCAGTACATGGCTCAGCCTCACTCAGGCAGGGCAAATTCAGATTCCGCTCTGCTGTAGGACGACTCTGGAGCCGAGGCTGAGAGTAGCACGGCTGGGCTGAGGATGAGGTTAAGGTGCATCGAAACATCTCAGGATCTCCTCTTAGCTTTTGTGTTGACGCTGCCTCAAACCTGACTGCGTAATCAGAGATATTGTGAAGTAGAGCTGCACAATATGGATGAAATTGCAATTGCAGTGTGTTGTTCCTGTCATAAACAGTGTATCTCTGAAATGGAAGAATTGAAAAGTTTTAATAGGACAGTGAAATGTGACATGGTTAAAGATTGGGCTGCATTATTTTGACAAATACTTTTTGGATTGGATTGGATTGGATTATTGGATTAACCTCATTTCTCCAGAATGATAACGTTACAGGAGAAGGAAAAAGCGTTTTTAGATTTCAAGTCATTTTTATCTCTTTTAATTGGCCTGTTTTTTTATTGGTTTATTTTATGTAACAGTGAAAAGGGCAATTGGCATTTTCAAATTACTAAAAAAATAAATTGGAAAAAAAAACTAAATAAATTAATAAATAAATAGCCCACTAAAATGAAGATGCAAGGTTTTGTCCTGACAGTGATTATAGCTTATTGTGATTCAAAAGCAGTGTTTGGCTTGGAGGCTATTGGTCATTTGCATTTTGCAGACTTGTGCGATATTGAAATTAACAAGCTATATATTGTGCAGCTCTAATGTGCAGGAATTGCAAATTTGTGTACAAACCATTCCAGTTGAATGAGGCAGGCAACACAGGCTTTTGGAGCATTTTATGTTTACTTCCACTTTAGTTCTTTCTCTCTTCCTCTCACTGTTCATGCTGAACTGTATAAAAAGTAGGATGTTAATAGAGTTTTCAGCTGAAGAGAGAGTTGAAATAAAAGCTCTCTCTCTCTCTCTTCCCCTCTCCCTCCCTCCCTCCCTCTCTCTCTCTCTCTCTCTCTCTCTCTCTCTCTCTCTCTCCTCTCCTCTCTCCTCTCCTCTTCCCCTCTCCCTCCCTCCCTCCCTCTCTCTCTCTCTTCCCCTCTCCCTCCCTCCCTCTCTCTCTCAAGTGTATGTCGTTAATCTGGCCCCCCCTTTTACCTTCTTCCTGTGCTCATTCTGTCTCCCTCCTCCTCCTCTGGTTCTTTATTCTAAAGCACACTCCCTTCTTCAATTCCTCCTACCAGAGGCCTTTCTGTCCATCACAGCATATCTCTGCAGCAGAATACACAACGCTGCCTTCATCTTCACGCCATTGTGCTTCTCCAACATCAGTGCTCGTCACACACGTCCCAAACATCTCAAACCTCAACCACACTCTTTCTCGGTTCCTCTGTCTTTCCCCAGAGCAGTAAACTGTCCTTTTCAAAACGCGCCCGAAATGACACAGGCTCGAACAAAGCACTAGTTAAATGAATTGCAGGAAGAATGACATCAGTCGAGTTTTAATACTATGATAAACCAGACGCATTTTTAAGAATTTCAGACTTGAAGCAACTGTCACAAGTTGGCTGGTAAGCATTCATTGTGTAAATATTCTGTTGTTTCCTATTTTGCAGATTTACTACTTGTAAATAAACACACATCAAGGAGAGATTAAACAGTCTTTTGCTAAATAAATAAAATGTTTCTGGTGTTTTTTGTTCACTGAATGAATGTTTAGCGTTCACGATTTTTATATATATATATGTGTGTGTGCGTGCGTGCGTGCGTGCGTGCGTGCGTGTGTGTGTGTGTGTGTGTGTAAAGAGAGAGATCTAATTGGATATAATCTAGATCCAGAGATTCTCTTTGTTTGGATAAGAGAAATAAGAGAAAAACCTCTTTTGCTTCCTTAAAGATTTTTTTTTTTTTTTGTGGATGGTTCTTTTAAAAACCTCAGTTGAAACCACTCCAGGTTCTTTCAGGAACCCAAAATGGTTCTTCTATAGCAGCGATGGACAAATCCTCTTTAGTTCCAAAAAACCTGGCTGTGATATTCAGATGCTCCAGATGGTCTGGATCAGGTCTGTTAGTTTAGGGCTGAAGCTAAACTTAAACTCAAGGTTTGTAGATGACCAGGGTGCTGCTGAAACCTTTAACATTCGTTATGTGTATTTGTTTTGTTTTTTGAAATAATGGCAGCTGTAATAAAGCTAGGGTGTGGCCACACTAAATACTGAAACATTTGATATTATATTTAGTTGGTGTCCAGCACAGTTTGGTGGCTCCACTTCTCAAAACACACCCACTAAATCCGGCAATTAACAAAGGAGTTAAATTAGGTGTTTCTGAGCAGGTAAATCACCAGACTGTGCTGTGCTGCCCTACAGGACTGGAGTTATGCACCCCTGCTTTAAGTACTGTTTATCTGATAGTGACAGTTCTGGTGGTCTACCAGGTCATGCAGGGTGGTTGGAGTTTCCCTATGTCAAATTATCTTATATATAACCTCCTCAGAAACATCTCCTGATAAAAAGAATGACTTGCCCTACTGGAAGAAGACCATTAGAACCATTAGGATTAGGATTTGCTGTCTAACGGGAATTGGCTTAATGGTTACCATTAGAGACCAGTAGTTTCCTGTTGGACACCTTTAGATCCTATTAGGAAACCATTTTGACTGGAAATTAAACTAAAATAAATGAAAGACTCTGACTTTTGCACAGTTCTGTATATTTTGTGTAGGTTAGTTTAGTGTTAGTATGTGGTTTTGAATACAACCCAGTAGCAAGGTTGGCACCCATGATCTATAGTGTCGCTCCATCACACCTTTATTCTGCAATTTGTTCTGCATTTTCCCTTCAGGATCAATAAGCATCTATCTATCTATCTATAAATCTATAAGAATACAGTCTATAGTAATAAAGGGGTGCTGTCCATCCTGTGTCTCTGTGTAGATGTCTAATAGGCTCTCTGTGAAATACGTGATAAATGCTGGTTCAAGTTGCAACTAAACCCAACTAAAACTGAAGATGAAAGACTTGGGCCCAATCCCATTTCACCCCTCGCCCCTACCACTTGGTCCTTAAACGTCGGATTTGAGAGTTCGTGTCTAGGGGTATGGCGAAGTGTTAGGGCTACGTGACCCTCCAAACGGAGGTTTTTCAGAGCTACACACTAAACTACGGAGCCCCGTAGGGGTCACTGCGAGAAAAAAAAAATGGTGAGGAGGAAAATCTGTCCCCGCAGTTCAGTAATCCGTACTCTCATTTTATAAACTGTGCCCACGGATTTGTAAACTGTACTCTCGGTTAGCAAAACTGTACCGACGGATTTGTAAACTGTAACTTACTGTACTGAAATGACGCTCATGCACGTGATTTCAACGTCGATTGTTCACTGGGCTTTAAATATCCAGCAGTTCTTCCATAGTCAGGGTTTAATGTTATTCCTTTTAACATGCCAAGGGCTCTTTGGGCTGAAACTCCGTTCAGTCGTCGCTGGCC